CCCAGGCATTCTGCTAGCCTCTGGTATACGAAGACAAAAAGGGAAGTGCGCTTACCCTCAAGCTGCTTACCTTTGCTTGGGGGAGACAACAGTAACAGGTGAAGGAGAACTAAATTGTACCCAAGGGAATATGCACAGCAGCCTCAGCCTCCTTGTCCTTCCTCGCCACGCATCACCCTCCTCGTGCGCTACTGTTCCACCAAACTGGCTTTCTTGCTAGCATTCCTCCCTTAGGATGCTCCATTGCCCACCTCTGCGCCTTTACCTGGGCTGTCCTGTGTCTGGAACACCCTCCTTGTGTGCTTCCCAGTCCCCTCCAGTGCTGTCCCACTCCCCGTGTCCCATCCGTGTCCCATCAGGCGGAGCTTATTACACCCCCTGCCCCGGCCCTCTGACGCGGTCGGTCGCCCTGGGACTGTGGCATCGCTGGGCGGCTGATTCCGCCCTCATGCCCCGGCCGGCCAATGGCTAGACCTTGCCACCTCGGCCCCCACAACGCATCTTGCATCTGTCTCCTCTCTGCTTAGACACCAGCCTAGCTGAACACTCCAGGGCATGCTCCTAAAGTGCAGGTAATAGAAGCTCTTGTTCAGACTGCGTGGGAGGCTCACAAGCCACTTAACAGATGTCCTCTCACACAACCCTGGGAGCGGGTGCTCTTATTACCCCTATTTTGCAGCTGAGAAAAAGGCAGGCAGAGGTTAGTGACTTGCCCAGGGTCACACAGCTAGGAAACGTCTGAGGTTAGATTTGAACTCGGGTTTTTCTGACTCTTGATCTAACCGTGTCCCTCCCCTATTCAAGTAACCCCCACCAGCTCCCTACTACAAAATCATAGTGGTCAGAGACCTTGCGCTGAAAAGGCCTTCGGGGGCACCTAGCCCACTCCCCTCGTTTTACAGATGAGCAAACAGTCCTGGGGAGGGCTTGCTGGTGACTCCCTCTTAGTGTCTCTCCTTCCTGAGTTCCAGCCCTGCACATTCCCAACTGGACACAGGTGGGCCTTTCAGACCCAGCATCTGAACTGATCTCTCCAGACCTCCCATTGCTGCCACCATCCTTCCAGTCCCTCTGAGGAGTCTTCTGCTCACTCCCCCTCCCACAGTTAGCCTATCGGTGACCGAGGCTAGTGGCTCTTCTCGTGACAACTCTCCATCTACTCCCAGCCACCACATGCTTCAGGCCTCAAGTCCTCATGCCTGAGCTATGGCAGTGGCCTCCTGGCTGGTCCCCCTTCCTGGAGTCTCTCTCCACCACAATCCATCTTCCCCTCAGGGGTGCTCCCTGAAGCTCAGGCCTGACAATGTCACCCTCCCACTTAATCAACTGTGGCTCCCTATTACCTCAGGATCCAATAAAAAAAATCCACTGGCATTGAAGCCTGATGGTGCACACACCTTGTTCTCCCCGTTTGGATATGACCCCGAAAGGCAGGGAGGGACTCTTCATTTTTCCTTTCAATCCTTGGCGCCGAGCAAGGCACCTGGCTTGTAAAAAGTAGAGGACCTTCATTGATACTTGGTGGTGATCAAGGAGGTGGCTTGTCCATGGTCACTTGGATAAGGCAGCCTTCAAATTTGCATCTTCTCACTCTGGACTCAGCTCTTTCTACTACGTCATCTCTAGAGACAAGGATCAATTCCTCGGTTTGGCATTTCAGGTCCTTTGCAGCCTGGCCTGCTCTTCCCTTCCTGCCTCATGGTACAGTATGCCCCTGAATACACTGTTCGGTCCGATCCCTCTTACTCTCTGGCCCCCGTAGATGGGACTCCATGTCCCAACTCTGCCTCTTTTGGTCCCCACACATGAGCTGCCCCACCTCTAATTGCCACCTCTTAGAATTCCTAGTTTGGGGATTCAAAAAAATTATCAAGGTAGAAATTGCCCAAAGAGAGAAAGGCATATTGCCAAAGACACATTGCAAACCAGTAATGAGCCAGAAGCAGACCTGAGCTCTCTCCACCCCCAGACCATGCTATAAGGAGCAGTGAGGGGGATGGAGGAGGAGAGAGTTCCCCTACAATTCTTACGGTCAGAATCCTGTCTTGGAAACATCAGCTGTGTAACTCTGGGACACAGCTTTCTGAACCTCAGTCTCCTCATCTGTGGAATGGGGGTATTCCATCTACCACCTGCCTCACAGAGTTGTGAGGGTGTAGTAAGATCACGTCTGCAAATATTGCCAACTTTAGAGCACCAGAGACATCAGCAATGTGGGGTTCACTGATCAGATGACATTCTGGAGAGACTGGTATGAAGTCTTACACCAGGAGGTGCCCAGGAGGGGCTGGGACCAGCGTCATTGTTGTTCTGCCTGCCTGGCCCCAGAGGGCAGAAGCGGAGCTCAGTTGGGCGTTACCCAGACTCTCTTCATGACAAGCCTTTCTGGCCTCTGGCTGCCTCGGGGGGTGCTGGGCTCTCTCTCCCTGGAGACCTTGAGGCAGAGGCTGGGGGACACCTGGACTGGTGTGCATAGGGGGCAGCCTTGGTGCAGGTCAAATATATCAATGCGTGGATGAGAACAGGCCTTTGGTATTTCTCTCTCTCCTTCATTCACTGGGTGACTTCGAAGCCCCCTTTTCTTTCCCCATCTGTCAAAGGAGGAGGTCGACTGAAGGATTCCCAGGGTCCCTGGTGGCTTTACGCACAACCCTAGGATACGAGGGTCCACCATCCTAGATGAGGATCTTGGATACATAGAGCTAGAGCCCTCGGAATTGAGGTGCTGTCCATGGTGCAGAGTGCTTCTGGCCTCCAGAGGGCAGCAAAACATCACTTTGATACCCAGGGACCTTGCAGGGGAGGGGAGGAGAGGATTGTCCCAGACTCAGGCTGACTGATAGCCTTGCCCAACTGAAGGGAGCCCAGCACTGTGAGACATGGCTCCTTCCACTGCAGTGGGTGCTGGGTGCTTCCTGTCACTCTATGTCAGCAAGCACCATGCATCCTGTGTGGGACTTTGGGTGAGTCACAGACTAGATAAGAACCCGTCCCTGCCCTTGCACACGCTGTCTAGACCACCAGAGTACACAGTATTACACGGTTTTTACAGTAAGAGGTATAGTCTCAAGGCTAGCAGCGTGAGATCTAGGGTGAAGGTCATTGCTGACAGTGGGGGTCTGGGAAGGCTTCTTGGAAGAGGTGGTACTCACCCTACTCAACTAATTGAATCTCATATTTGTAAGTGACCTTGGTGGCCATCCAAGCCAAACTGTACCTGCCCCAAAATCCTATCTCTATATCATACTGTAAGTGACTGCTCATAGCCCCTAAAGATGGGGAACCTATCTCCTCTGAAGGCAGACCCTTCTGCTCTCATGTGATCTGATGACCCAGTTAGGGATTTCAAGGAACAGAGGCATAGCTTATGCTTACAGGGGACTTCCTGACATGATGTGTTGATGTCCGATAAACTGTCACCTCCTTTGTTCGTGGACACCATGCCCCTCTCACGGCAGCCTGAACTGCCCTCTCTTCTACCACTGGTAGGCCGTGCTATGGACTGGCAGAGCAGAAATGCTTCCTCCTTGGCTATAGGCTCTGAGCTTTCCTCATGGTCCCAAGACTCTGGACTCCTTACTGTTAGTTAGTCAGTCAATTAGCAAACTTTGTTTCGCCTTTGCATTCATGTGCCCTCCCTCTTCACTCTCTAAAATGCTGAGCACAGAGGGACTGCTAACACTCTGCAGGACTGAGTTGGGATCCAGAAGGACTTTGGCAGACTGGAGCCCCAGGGCAAACCTAACGAAATAAAGAGCAAGAAAAATTCATATTTTGATTAAAAATATAAGATAGACGAGGGAGGTGTGGCCAGATAGCAGCTTATTAAAAAGATCTGAAGTTTGAGTGGAGTCCAAGCCCAGTATGGGCCCCAGTGTGAAGCGGCAGCCAATGTGCTCTTGGGTGGCAATGAGACTAGAAAGGGGCCAGAGACCCATCCTCTGCTCTATGGCAGACTGTTCAGGTCAGACCTCCTCATGCAGGAAGAACACCGATAAGCCAGAGAGCCTTCAGAGCTTCAAAGTCAAAGGCAGGGGGAAGGGTCTTGAGATTATGTCCCCTGAGCGTCAGTTGAAGGGTCTGAGAGTAGTGAGCCTGGATCAGAAAGGAAAGCTCTGGGTGGGGGTGGGGGTGGGCATGACAGCTGTGTTTGAAAGGCTGTCCCACGTGAATGCTATTGGGAATCTATGATTTTTAAAAAATCACTGGATCTTCTTGCCCCCATGCCCATGCCGATGCCCAGATCTTGCCCCCAGGCCGCGGTCCTGCCTCCCAAGATTCTGAGAAGACTGGAAGGTTCTCTCCCAGAGCCGCTAGGCTTGACTAATGGGTGGAGTGGCCACTCCTTGCTCCCCCCTCCAAAACCTATTAGAGTCTTTGGTTGCTGGTCTTGAGATCCATGCCCTTCCCCCCTCTGAGCTGGGGATTCCTCAAGAGACCAGCCTGGGAGACCTGAATGCTGGGGATGGTGCCGCACAAATAAAGGCAGAGCCCAACATGACCCAAAATGTGGAAGGGTTATTATCGAATCCCTAAGGAACAGGCAAGTCATAAGAGCCCAAGGAGGTTGCCTGCATCTGTCTCCCCTCCCCCCATGCCTCAGTGTCTTCTCTTGTCAGAGGAGGAGATGAATCCCTGCTCTTCCTTTCTGCCTGCCAGCATGCTACTCCTTACTCTTGACTCCACTCTTGTCTGCATGGAGTTAGGACCCGGGAGCCAGAAATAGGGAGGCAGCACTGCTACCCAGTACTTGAGGGAAGAAACATTTAATCTGGGAGGGAGCAAGATAGGATCTTACTGAGTGTGCCCGGTCCTGTGGGATTCCTTCTGGAACAATGAATGGCAAGGCTTCTAAGGACCTTGGATAGCACCGGGGGGTACGACCAGCCTCACCTTGGCAAGGTGAGGAAGTCTGGGGCTGGAGGTCCATGGCCACTCTTACCATCTTTAAGTGCTAGCAGATCTCCTGTTAGGTAGCCAACAAGCATTTATTAAGTGCTTTCAACATTCCCGGCAACGTGCTAATCACTGGGGATACAAAGAAGGGTAAAAGACAGTCCTTGCTCTCAAGGAGCATGCAGTCTCTATCTATTAGCTTAGGAGCCCCTAGTCTCTCTTTGGGACAGGAACGTGGAGCCTCATTGTATCCACCAGACCCTCTCCACAAGGTGCTTAGCCAGTCAGGGAAGTACCTCAGGACTCTCAAGCCTTCCCTTCCTACTGACCTCTGACCTATGGAGGGCTCAGGAAGAGTCTGGGGCTGCTGGAGAGACTGTTGCAGAGCAAGCAGGCAAAGAAAGCAGACAGTTTCCTGGGCTTAGGAAAGAGTCTCTTTCCACGCTGGGCCCTGATTCAGAGTCAGTGCCCTCTCTCCATCCCCCTCCAGCATGGTGAGGACTCCTCCCAAGATTCTGAGAAGAAGGCTGGAGGGTTCTCTCCTGGAGGCACTAGGCTTGTCTAATGGGGGATGACATCAGAGCGGGAGGACAGGCAGGCAGACACGCAGCTGCAGGCGTCCACCTGTGTGTAGACACGCTGGACCTCCCTGCCATCGGGACACTTCATCTTCACCTCTTCCTGGTGTACCTGGGTCTCTTGGCAGCAGGTGCATTTCCTCTGAATCTCATTAGCCCCCAGAGAATACCTGGTGAATGAAGCCGCTCTTAGAACCACTCAATGGAGTGCTTCCTCAATGCCCATGGAGCCTGAGAGTGTAGCAGGGTTCATGAGGCTATGGAGTCCAACCCCCTCATTTGGGATGGGGGAAAGGGCTTGCCCAAAGCCACCCAGCTAGACTGGGCAGGGCCAGGAGTGCCAGATGTTTAGAAGTGGCATCAAGGCCAACCCAGGCCTGGCTTCTCTATCAAAGACCTACCTGGGGCTCACTCAGTCTCTGCTAGAAGGCTCCCCTCATCCCAAATGGGAAAGAAATACCTTGGACTTGTCGGAAGAAGGCGTAGCTACACATAAGCAGGGGAAAGCTTTGGTGTGCTCCTTGGGCAGCTTCCTCTAGGGCAATGTTAATTATGGTCCCCTAGGATCTCCAGACTTTTGTCTTACTGTGCATAGGCTTTTCCTCATTGGTGCTGGGTGCTTCATTTCCCATTCATCCTGTATTCCCAACTTCTCCATGAACTTCTCCTGAAATTCCCTCCTGACCTCTCTCTCTGCTGGCTGCCAGAACCCCCTACATTCTGCTGGGTTCACCTTTGCTGAGCCTACACAGGATTTCTTCCCCTATATTCAACCAGCTCTTCCTCTTGGAGTCTCTTCCAGGGCACCCACCATCCCTAGTCATGGGCCATCTTGGCTTTACCCCTGGTCAGACTGGAAGTGCTCAAGGGCGAGAGCTGCTGTGTTTATATGGGGCCTTCTGTGAGAGCACCATCAGGGCACACTTACCATGCCTAGTGCTGAAAGTGGGCAGCCCTTGATGCCACCTTCTGCATGACCCTGGGAGCCGGGCATGACCTGCTCATCCTTTCCCCTCATTAACCCTGATCCAATTTTGATCTGCTCCGGCAGGTGGGATATCAGCCTGATGTCCCTGGCCTGGCAGTAGTTATAGGGGGCACAGAAAATTTCTGGGTCCCCACAAGAACCCTGAAGAGCTGTTGGGGCCTGTTTATATGTGGGATCTCTGCCTCATGAGTGATGCCTGCCCAGTTCTGACCCTCTGTTTAGGCTGCACGTGGATGTTCTCTGGGGGAGCAGCAAAATCTGGGGTCCCATCTCCCTTTTGGAGCCTCACTCTTCACACACTAGTGCCTGACTGCCCCCTCCAGTGGTGAACACTTTGGTGGGGCCCTGAATCTGAGAAGCTTTTTCGTGTTCACGGGCCAGTGCCTGCCAAGCATTTAGCGGGTCTCCCCTTCCCAAGATAATGCCCACCTTTAACTACAGCCTTTGGAGTAACAACGATAATGGTAATAATAATAACTACAACAGCATTTGTCTAGCGCTAGAATGTTTACTCATTCAATCTGTTCTAATGGCAGGTGCTTAAGTTGCTGTGGCTGCAGGGCACTGGGATGGAGGGAGGCCTCTTGGGGTAGCCCCTTAATTCACACTGTGCAGGAGGGTTTCACTTTCACCTTTGGTTAGAGCTGCCCCCATGAGGAGTGAGGCTCTTGCCCAGTGTAGACACTTGCCGAGGCCTAGACATTTCCAGGCAGAATCACCTCTCTGGGGAGGGTTTGGGACTGTTTGGCCAGGAATTGGGGGCAGTTGGGCACTGTAGGAGAAAGTGGGTGGGTGGGAAAGAGTCAGAGTGGGGCCGGCTTCTCACTCACATGGACATGGAGTTGCAGGACCCCGCACAGAAGGTGACATTGACAGCTGTCTCCGACACACAGCCCTCATACTGGAGAAGTGTTTCGTTGGACTGAACCTGACAATCCTCTAGAAAGAGGAAGAGGGAAAGTCTGCCCTAGGCCAACGCCCCTTCCCTTGCCTTGGGTCTGCCGTCCCATCCCTCCACCTACAGGCAGGTGCCAGGGCTGGGTTGGGAGTAGGGACTGGGGTGTGAGGAGGTCATGGTTTTCTGGAGCTGGCCGTAAGTGAATGAGCACAGCCGCCTGCGCAGATACATCTGGGGCTAGGAACATGGGGGTACCTCAGTGACTGAAGAGGCCACAGGAGGTGGGAGAGGCAGGGGCTGTTTGTGGCATCTGGGAGCCCGAGGGGGCCTTAGTGACAGGGGCCCTGGTCTGCTGAGCTTGGTGGGTGTGGGGAGGGCACAGGGTCCCCGGCATACTCACACATGCCCCATCTCAACTCACCCTCAACCTCCTGGCATTCATAGCAGCAGCCGGCTCTCCTGAGGACTCCCTGCAGGCCAAGCATAGGCGGTGGAAGGTTAGGGCTGGGTTAAGCAGAGTAGGGCTGGCTGGGTGCATTAGAAGCAAAGCAACCAATATGCAGGACGGGTTTCCAGGATGCTAGAGGAGCACCAAGAGGTCTGTGTGCAAGCCTCAGGTCTGAATGAGAGCGAGCTCTCTGGAGCCTGTATTGTAACTTAGGCTCCTAACATATGCCATGAGTCTGGGGCAGGGTGGGGGTGAAGCTGATACCTTGCACGATGGCATGTCTGGGCACTCAGTTGGTCTCTGAGACAGGATGGTCTGTCCGGTCACTTTGTCACAGTGGTATTCTGTGCAGTTGTCTGCAGTGGTGTTGACCCAGGTCTCATTGAACTGAAATGCCAGTGAGAAGGTGGCCAGATGCCCAGGTCTGCTGGCCTCTGAGCAGAGCTTAAGCACCTGCTCCTGAGATGCTGTGGGACCTGGGGGAGCTTACTGAGGCTGGCCCTGAAAGTCCATGGCCACATGCCAGCCAGGTTCCCAAGGTGCCCCCTATCCCCTTAAAAGCCTGGGAGCTAATGGGCATGGGGCAAGAAGCCTGCCCGGCCTTGGCTCTGATCTTCTCAGTCAAGCCCTCCAGGGTCTCTTACCTTAATCCGCTTTCCATCTGGGGTGAGGCAGGTTGTTGGTACACACTGCCCACAGCACTGCCCTGGTAGGACCTTGTACTCCTGGTCCTATAGTGAGAGGAAGAGAAGAAAGGGGGTGGACATCCCTGGCTGCCTTTTCTCTCCTTCCCCATGACTGCTCTTCCAGGCAAGCCCCTCCTTGCCTCTCCCCTGCCTGGACCATGGCAGCTGTCTCCAGTCATTGCCCCCCCTCCCATCTCCCATCCCAACTCCCCCACTATCTACGCGAGATGCAGAGGGGACCTCTCTTCCCACATTCCCAGTCCTCTACTCAGTGTTTCAGTGGCTTCATGCCATAAAGCTCCAACTTCTTGGTCTGGCCTTCGAGGCCCCCTGTCTCACCTCTCTCACTGTCCCCTAGCCCTGGGCTCCTTGCTGCTCTGAACTTTTGTTCAGGGAGCCTCTCCCAGCCCAAGCCCGACTCTCTTCCCTTGGTAACCCAGCCCCCACGGGGCTCTCTGTTCCCTCAGATCCTTGGGCACACCATCTTTACATCCTGGCACCCCAGGTTCCTGCTGGGCCATCCACATTTCCTCCTGAGTCTTAACCCCCTATGTAGACTGTGACCGCCCTGAAGAAAGGGACTGAGCCTTACAGAGTTATCAGACCTGGAGGAGAGCTCAGAGAGCCTCAGGCCATGACTCCTTTTACAGCTGAGGAAACTGAGGCTCAGAGGGGGAAGGGATTCGCCCTGGGGCAGGGGGTTGTGAGTAGCAGGAGTAGAACTCAATCCCATGTCCCCTCACTCCCAATATAATGTCCTGTGCATGTGTCCCTTCTCACTCTCAAGGAGGAGGCAGTAAAATAATAAAGAATTTGATGATGTGAGCTCAAGGGTGTTGACAGCTGACCCAAGAATACCTGCCTTCTGAGAGTTCCTGGGTGCCTGGCCCCAGGTGGGAACACAGAGACATACCTGGCTGCTCCAAGCTCAGGGTCCTCGGGGAGACAAGGCGCACCCCAGGGACTGGAAAAGGCCAAGGTAAGGGTCACTGGCTGAACAGGGCAGGGGCTGGATTCTCACCGGGGCACAGGAGATGGAGCAATGCTTAGCCTCACACCACACTGTGCTGTTGGTTTCTGGGTTCACCTCGACGCGACAGGTACAGGTATGGCAGGGCTGGTCTGATGGCACAGTTGACCCAATCTGGGAGGAAGAGGGGACAAAGTCAAGGGAACGAGGAACATGCAGCCTTTCTTGCCCCTCCCCACCCCCAGGGTCCCCATCCAGGAGGAGGGGAGGGAGCGAGACCAAGCAGGGCGTCTGCTGAGGACCAGGCAAAACTGTTGGACCTGACCATCATCTCCAACCCAGAGAAAAGCAAGTGTAGAGTGGCAAGCAGCGAGAAGCTGCCCAAACTCCTGAGTAGACCTGCCTGGGGAGGCAGCAGCCCCAGGGAGGTGCACCTGGACATGCGTGCACACTCACACACAAATGTGTACAAACATGTACAACCACATAGACTGGTGCATGTGCATGTACGATCACAGACATGTAATGCACTCACATGCAAATGTAGACACTTATAAAAGCACAAACTGTACAATCACACACACACACATCATCACATGTATACTCACACCCAAATGTGCACACCTATAAATGCACAGACACATCGGTGCTTGCACACAACTACACACATTCATGAGGGGGCTGTCAACCTCAGAACAGCTGAATGAGAGGAGGGGACCTTCATTCTCTTGATCTAGAGCCATGATTCTCTAATAGAAAATGTTCCAGTGCATTTAAAGTACAATTAATGAACATTGAACCAGGATACCTCTTTCCATGTATGCAATTATTGGGCAGTGTAACTGCACATGTGGGGACCTTTTTCTAAAGAGCCCCTGGAGCTTTCTCTCTTCATTGATGTATCTCTCTCTCTCTCCCTCCCTTCCCTTTCCTACCCTTCCTTCTTCCCTTGTTCACTTTCTCTTTCTTCATTCCTCTTTCTGCCCTTCTCTCTGTCCCAGTCTCTGTCTCTGGGTTTTTCCCCATGCATAGAATGCTCTTCCTCTCTGCCTTCTGGCTTTAAATCTCAACTAAAATCCTACCTTCTACAGGAAGTCTTCACCAACCTCTTTCATCTCAATGCTTTCCTCTTGGCACTATTTCCCACTTATCCTGTATAGAGCTCGCTCTTGCATATCATCTGCCTCCCCAGTTAGATTGTAACCTCTTTACCAACAGGGATTGTCCCTTTTGCATCTCTTCCTAGGCCCCCTTGGCACATAGTGGGGGGTTAGTGATATTTATCTCGTGTCTATCTCTCCTGTTGGTCCCTTAATGATGTGCCTGTCCACAGAGGATGGCCTCCTGCCCTGGGTGTGGTTGGGGGGGGGGATGTCTCTCCCACTAAAGACGGGGATCTCTGAGGAATATGGCACTGTTGTGGTCCAAGCCCTGGTGGAGACCCTGATGGGAAGGACTCACTCACCCCATAGGTGGTCCCATTTTGCTCACACATTCTCTCTTCTGAAAGACACAAGAACATGAAAGGTGAAAATGTGAAGGGGAGCTTAGGATATGTTTTAAAGACCCCTCAATGATGCCCATTGAGCTGGGACAGGGAAAGGTGGTGAAGGATTGGGATCCCCCCAACCTAAGTGGCACAATATTTGGACAGGACAGCCCAGAGCCAGGACCCCAAGGGGTCCCAAAGCTCAGTACTCACTGCACCCAAAGACAGGACAGCAGCTGTCTGTAGGCAGGATGCTAAACGGCTCCTCTTGTGGCTTACAGCTCGGTCGATCTTGAGGGCAGCTGGACTTGTTGCAGACTGAGGAGGTGGGAGAATGTGCCACAGATGAAGGGAGAGTTAGACCCTTGCTCACAGGGAATCTCTGCAGACTTTACTCTAACCTAGCTCTCTGTGCATATGTCAGTACCTCCCCTTCCCCCACCTGACTCTTAAAAGGGAACGCCAACATCAAAGAAAGGGCTGCATTTGTGTGGAGCCACCTCCGTGGCTCCTCTCTCCTTGTGAAGTAGGCAGAAGAGTTGTTTTCATGCTAGATTTACAGATGGAGAAACTGAAACAGAGGGGTTAAATGACTTTCCCAGGGTCACACAGCCAGTAGATAGGTCAGGACTCTCCTAGAATAGCGCTTTAAGATCGACAATAGGGTCACTGCACAACAGACCTGAGAGAAATGTAGCATAACTCATTGTCTCAGTTTTCAGAGGAGGAAACTGAGACAGCCCCAGGAGGGAAGTGACTTAGCCAGGGTCACACAACTGGTAAGAGGCAGAGTGTGGGGATTGGAACCAGATTCCAGACTCAGCTAACTGGAAAGCCGCCACCACCATCATTTGCAGTGCTCTGACTCTTAGAGCTCTCCCATGGAGAGCAGTCCACCATTCCTGGGGAGGGAAGCCCAGAATTTCCTGAGGCTCCCCTAATAATCAAATGAGCATTTGACTTCCTGGCTCATTCTTTCTCGCCTTCGCCCTCCCTGGGACCAGGACAGAGAGCTGCTCGTGGTCAAAGGACCAAGATTCCCTCTTCCCTAACTCTTCTCACCCTTGGCCATCCAAATAACTCCAACCCTTTCCCCTCCTTTCTCCTCCTGCCCAAACTCCCCATCCCAGCACTCTGAATGGAGTGTCTCATCTCCAGCCCTTATTTCTCTTAGAAGCTCCAGGTCCACATCACCCCCAGCTGCCTGGAGGGCAGCAACAACCCCTCAGACATGCCAGGGTCTAATCTGTCCCCCTTCCTTTGTCTAAACTGCCATCCTTCTCCATGCCCCCCCCCGACTCAGAACCCAGGAATCATCTTTAATCCTTCCCTCTTCCCTCCACAATTCTGTATATTCTTCCCTCACTGAGCCGCTTCGTCATCTCCACAGCTATGTCTCAGGCCAAGTTCTCACCCCCCTCTCCCTGTAGCTGCCCTCCTCATTGGTCACCTGGTCACCCTGGCTTTGGTCCCTCCACTCAGCTGCCAAAACGTTTGACCATGACATGGCCCCTGTTCAGAAATCTTCAAAGCCTGTCCTCTCCTCTACCATGCCTGGAATGCTTTCCCCACTCACTTCAGCCTGAGAAGCTCCTAGTTCCTTTGAAAGTCCAGTTCAGGGGGCCCCTCCCGGCCTCCCCAGACCTATCCTCCTCTATCTTGTAGTGTTTCTGCACTTTCTTATCCATGATGTGTTGGAACTCTCTCAAAGAATGGGAGCTTCCCATAGGCAGGGCTGTCCCCACTTGGGATTTGGGCCCCAACTGCGGAACATGGGGCCGGCAACACACTTTATACTTAATAAAGGCTCCTCAGTTGTCTGTGGGGGAAAGTCTAAACTTCTCAGCCTGGTACTCCAAGCCTTCCATAATCTGGCCCTACCTCTACCAAATTTGTCTATTCATTGTCTCTGGAATTCTACTTGAGCTTTGGCACATCCATATCTTTGCTTCTGCTGTTCCCTGAAATTCTGAGCTGAGCCTCCCACCCCTATTGTATGCTTTTTAATGACATTCTCTCAGAGCCATAGCTCAGCAAGCATTTATTAAGCACCTGCTGTGTGCTAGACCCTGGACTCAGTGCCAGGCACACAAAGACAAGAAGCAAATAGTTTCTGCCCTCAAGGAACATATCTACATTCTACCGGAAAGCCTCAGTTACCTTCTCTGAAAATAGAGGTTTCAGGACACGAATCCTAGGACTTCAAGCCCATCTAGTTCAGCCCCCTGGTTTTACAGGGGAGGAAGCTGAGGCCCAGGGAGGTGGAGGGACTTGCCCCAGGTCACATACAGGCAGCAGGCACCAGAGCTGGGGCTCAAAGGACTCGGCCCCACCTGACCCCAGCACCATCACCCAGGGAGCAGCATTATCTCTTTCCTATGGTTGTTGGAAGGATTCAGACAAATGTGAGCTGCCGCTTTAATAAATAGCTTCCCCTTCTTGGCTTCTTGGAGGCCTAATGCTGTTCCCCCACTGTGCTGATGACCACACTGTCTCTCCCTGCATTCCCCCAGATCATCAGCTCTAAGAAGGTTGGGCTGCACCCATCCCCTTCCTCTCTCTCTCTGTAACACTGAGCCTTCAGCCCAGCCATGATGTGGGGCTCTGGAATATGTCCAGCTGGGCCCATCCTCTTGTCCTGGGGCTTCTGCAGAGAATTCCATTCTGATCCTGTCCTGCTTCCCTGCAGGACCCAGAATGGGATAGCTGGGCTTACCGCAGTGTGGCTCCTTGCAGCACGAATCCTCTGCCTGAGGCTTGTAGACAATGACAAAGCCCTCCTTTTGGCACTTGGGGGGTGCTGTGGGTTCCAGGCACTGAACAGGTCTACACTGTGCTGTGAGTGAGCTGTTGTCACAGATGCAGTCTTGGCAATTACTGGTCCATTGCTCTCCAGGCTGGGAAGAACACATGAAGGCTAGGTATTGGCTTGTTCAGGAGCTGGCTCCAGGAGCCCAAGGCAGGGCTCATTCCAGGGCTTGTGCCCAGTGCCTGCCCATGGACCTTTGGGGAGAAGTCAAGGAGAACCTCCTCCAGGGTCCTTGGATCTCCCCACTCCCAGGCTATGCTGGCCCCCTGGCTTTGGCCAAGGGCCTGGGAGACCCTCTCCTGCCCCACTCAGCACCTGCTGGACTTTGGTCTCATGCAGATATTCCCTCCCACACCGTGAGCAGTCCCAGCTCATTTATTTTCCCATCACCTCCACTGTCAGATGGCATGAACTCACTTCAGTGGCAAGTGGAGCACGGGACATGTAGTGAGGAAGGACAATGCTCAGAGAAATTCCTTCTGGATTATCTGTACTATTGCCCTACCTCCGGTTCTATCCCCATTAGTGGAACTATTTATATGAAAGACAACCCCCTTGTTAAGGCTGAGGTCTGTAGAGAGAGAAGAGAAGTGAGCCCAGGACAGACCCCTTCTGAAATCCCAACATGGCAGAAATGGGAATAGCACAAGCTAGCCAAAGAAACAGAGAAGAAGCAGGTAGAGAGGAAAGGGGAGAACCAGAAGACTGGAGTCCCTCAAAAGCCAGCAGAGGAAAGAAAATGTGGGGGACTGGTAGTCAGTAATTTCAAAAGGGGCAGAGAGGTCAAGAAGGATGAAGACAGAAGAAAGGCCAATTGATTAAGTATTTTTATTTATTTATTTTAAGCAATTGGGTTTAAGTGACTTGCCCAGGGTCACATTGCTAGTAAGTGTCAAGTGTTTAGTCTGAGGCCAGATTTGAACTCAGGTCCTCCTGACTTCAGGGCCAGTGCTCTATCCACTGTGCCACCTAGTTTCCCCTAGTTGATTATTAAAGTGACCACTGGTAATCTTAGAGGGAGCGAGTTCAGTCTAGAACTAGGGATTCAAAAGCAGACTGCAAGTTGAGGGAAAAGTAGGTGGTGAGGAAATTGAGTTCAACAAGAGTCCAACCATCTACCTGCTTTTCCATCTACCTGTCCACTGGCTTAGTAATCATACTCATGGGCAGCTTTAAGGTTTACCAAGCCCTTCACTGTTACCTCTTTTTGATCTTCACAATAACCCTGTGAGGTAGCTGCTATTATTTTTTCTGTTATACCGATGAGGAAACTGAGGCCAAGAGGCAGTAAGTGCCTTGTCCAGGGTCATGCAGCTAGTATATGTTTGAGATCAGATTTGGACTTGGCTCTTCCTGACTTCAAGTCTATGCCCTGTGCAACATTGCTTCTTATATAACAATCCATCAATCCATCTATCTACCTGTTTTCTGCCTTATATACATCTATACATCTGTCTAACTACACATGCATTGATTTCTCCATTCATGTTATCCATCCATGTGCTTGATTTGTGTATCTATGCATCTGTCCATCCATATTGCTATCCATCTAACCACTCATTTATCCATCTACAGATTTAGAATTAGAACATATGCTACTGGAGGTGAAAGATTATCTTGTTTTCTCATATTTTTATCTCTGATGCTTAGTACTTAGAATGGAGTAGAGAGCCATTCACTCACTGTATCCATTTAGCCATCCATTTGCTTATTTTGTCCATCTATTATCTACCTTGGGGTAGCTAGGTGGAGCCACAGTGGATAGAATGCTGGGCCTGGAATCAGGAAGACTCATCTTCATGAGTTCAAATCTGGCTGTAGATACTTACTAGCTGTGTGACCCTGGGCAAGTCACTTAATCGCTCTCTGCCTCAGTTTCATCATCTACAAAATGAGCTGGAGAAGGAAATGACAAACCACTCCAGTATCTTTGCCAAGAAAATCCCAAATTGGGTCATGAAGAATTGGACACAACTGAAAAATGATTCAACAAAAACACTTATCTGTCTGTCCAATGATTGTTCCACCTATTTGCCCTTTCATCCATCCATCCATCCATCCTATTCCACATGGGAAGAAAGATGACCCACTTTGGAGAGGACTAGATAATGTGTCAGTCACCTGTCTTGGTGGAAAGACATCATAGCAACCTGGAGGAGGAGTGGTTTGTGGGACAGTTGATGAGGGTACAGATGATGTTGGAGTTGGACATGGCCCATGAAATCTTTTTATTTCACATTGTTGGTTGCAAATGGCAAAAAAACTACACCCAGCTTTGTCTGTCTTGTTGTAGATAACATCACCTGTTAAAAGGAAAAGAAGAGTTATAAAAGATTTCCTTTATGTTTAGGACCATACTTGAGTCCTTGAACCTAAAGATAGGTTATAATGGAAGAAAGCAAGAAACTAAGGGGAGATGAACAGCATTCTTTGTGTGAATAGGTGGAGAAGTTACATTTATTTTGCTTTGAGAATTTCTAGAGAATTTCACAAAAGCTGCTAGAATAATCATACAATCCACAGAGATCCCAAGGACACCCAGACCAGTAGATGGAGAAAACTTGCCTGCATTGAGGAGGATTAGAAGATTCTACTCACCAGGAGAAAACAGGTCTCCGGCCACAAAGCAGAAGCATGGTGTTGTTAAGGTGGAGGGTACTGGCGATGTCTGTGACACAGGAGGGATGGATACAGAAGTGGAAAATGTAAAGATGGTGGATGTCTGCAAAGTGGGTGAGCTCACAGGTGGAGTCCTTGAATGGGAAGGCACAGAGGCAGAGGAGCTTGAGGTTGGAGCTACACAGGGGCTGTAGTCATCACAGCAGAGCACCCTGATGTGATAGTTCAAGCAGTATTTTATGGGTCCAGCCTGGTCCTGGTTCCTGCAGACTAGACCAATGTCCACATTACATTCAACCACTTGTCCCACCTGGTCGATGGGCACATCCATGTAGTTCTCTGCTCGGCACTGGACTTCCCGAGGCTTCTCACAGATGGTTTCCCCTGCAGCCTGGATGTTGTCATAGGTCTCAAAGTCTCCACCATCTTTTCCAGGTATTGGGTAGCTCTGATCAAACCAGTCTGTCCACACACACCTAGGCTGGCACTCTGTGGCTGATGTGGCAGTGGTTGTGCCTGAAGTAATAGGGCTGAAAGCTGTTGTTTGGCTAGTGGAGGTGGTTCCAAATGATGAGCTTGTGCTCAGAGACCTGGGAGCTGTCTTTGGCACCTTGGTGACTTTAGTAGCCCCAGAGGTTGGGAGGGTGTTTGGCCTTGCTGTGGTAGACTCCAGAGAGGAGGTTGCTGTAGTGGCTGGTGCTGATGGGCCAGCGGGTGATGTGATGGCAAGTGTGGATTGCAGAGAGGTCAGTGGCACTGAGCTGGTAACTTTCTCTGTCTTGCCCTGTGTTGCCTTGGTACCTCTCGTCTTCAGACCTGAGGTCTGAGGGGAGGTGCTCAAGGATCTGGAGCTGGCAGACATGGTTGTGACGCTGGTAGAGGACGCTGTCCAGAAAGCTGATTCCATGGAAGCTGTGCTTGTTGGAGATGGAGCTGTCCCACAGGGGCTGTAGTCATCACAGCAGAGCACCCGGATTTGGTAATTGAGGCACATTGTCTCAGGAGCCTTCTGATGACTATTTCTGCAGATCAAGCCAAAATCCACGTGGCACCACAGCACCTGCTTCAGCTGGTCAAGAGGTAAGTCTGGGTAGAGCGATGACTGGCACTCGATGGCTCTGGGCTCCAGACAGATCTTGCCCCCAGCATCCATGATACTGTAATAAGTCTCAATATCTCCTCCATATCTGCCTGCTCTGGGTTTGTCAGTGTCAAACCACTCTGTCCAATGACACTGAGGCGCACACTGAGTGTTGGGTGTCCTACTGCCTGTGGGAGTGATGCTGGAGGTGGTGATGAGGGTTGACAGCATGGGGGTACTGCCAGGGTGGGTTTCCACCGTAGACAGAGCACCAGTGTAAGGTGTGCTTGTCGGTCTGGTTGTTGTTGAGCAGTGAGTGTAGTCACAGCAGAGGACCCTGATATGGTAATTGAAGCATACTTTAAACCTTCCAGCCTGGTCCTGGTTCCTGCAGACTAGACCAATGTCCACATTACATTCAACCACTTGTCCCACCTGGTCGATGGGCGTGTCCATGTAGTTCTCTGCTCGGCACTGGATTTCCCGAGGCTTCTCACAGATGGTTTCCCCTGCAGCCTGGATGTTGTCATAGGTCTCAAAGTCTCCACCATCTTTTCCAGGTATTGGGTAGCTCTGGTCAAACCAGTCTGTCCACACACACCTAGGCTGGCACTCTGTGGCTGATGTGGCAGTGGTTGTGCCTGAAGTAATAGGGCTGAAAGCTGTTGTTTGGCTAGTGGAGGTGGTTCCAAATGATGAGCTTGTGCTCAGAGACCTGGGAGCTGTCTTTGGCACCTTGGTGACTTTAGTAGCCCCAGAGGTTGGGAGGGTGTTTGGCCTTGCTGTGGTAGACTCCAGAGAGGAGGTTGCTGTAGTGGCTGGTGCTGATGGGCCAGCGGGTGATGTGATGGCAGGTGTGGATTGCAGAGAGGTCAGTGGCACTGAGCTGGTAACTTTCTCTGTCTTGCCCTGTGTTGCCTTGGTACCTCTCATCTTCAGACCTGAGGTCTGAGGGGAGGTGCTCAAGGATCTGGAGCTGGCAGACATGGTTGTGACGCTGGTAGAGGACGCTGTCCAGAAAGCTGTGGAAGCTGTGCTGTTGGAGATGGAGCTGTCCCACAGGGCTGTAGTCATCACAGCAGAGCACCCGGATTTGGTAATTGAGGCACATTGTCTCAGGAGCCTTCTGATGACTTTTCTGCAGATCAAGCCAAATCCACGTGGCACCACAGCACCTGCTTCAGCTGGTCAAGAGGTAAGTCTGGGTAGAGCGATGACTGGCACTCGATGGCTCTGGGCTCCAGACAGATCTTGCCCCCAGCATCCATGATACTGTAATAAGTCTCAATATCTCCTCCATATCTGCCTGCTCTGGGTTTGTCAGTGTCAAACCACTCTGTCCAATGACACTGAGGCGCACACTGAGTGTTGGGTGTCCTACTGCCTGTGGGAGTGATGCTGGAGGTGGTGATGAGGGTTGACAGCATGGGGGTACTGCCAGGGTGGGTTTCCACCGTAGACAGAGCACCAGTGTAAGGTGTGCTTGTCGGTCTGGTTGTTGTTGAGCAGTGAGTGTAGTCACAGCAGAGCACCCTGATATGGTAATTAAAGCATACTTTAAACCTTCCAGCCTGGTCCTGGTTCCTGCAGACTAGACCAATGTCCACATTACATTCAACCACTTGTCCCACCTGGTCGATGGGCGTGTCCATGTAGTTCTCTGCTCGGCACTGGATTTCCCGAGGCTTCTCACAGATGGTTTCCCCTGCAGCCTGGATGTTGTCATAGGTCTCAAAGTCTCCACCATCTTTTCCAGGTATTGGGTAGCTCTGATCAAACCAGTCTGTCCACACACACCTAGGCTGGCACTCTGTGGCTGATGTGGCCGTGGTTGTGCCTGAAGTAATAGGGCTGAAAGCTGTTGTTTGGCTAGTGGAGGTGGTTCCAAATGATGAGCTTGTGCTCAGAGACCTAGGAGCTGTCTTTGGCACCTTGGTGACCTTAGTAGCCCCAGAGGTTTGGAGGGTGTTTGGCCTTGCTGTGGTAGACTCCAGAGGGAAAGTTCCTACTGTTGTGGATTGGCCAGAGGTGGCCAGGAGAGTTTGTGGGGCTGTCAAGGGCTTGGAACTAGTAAACTTCCAAGTTATGCCCAGAGATCCTGAGGAAGTGTGCGTTATGTTTTTGACTGTCACAGAAACACTTTGGGGAGTTGAAATGGCCTCCTTTGTAGCTGTAGCTAGTGTTGATGTGGACATGATAAAGTCTGGAATTGTGCTCTGTGGTGTTGATGCAGTCTGTGTTGGTTTTGTTGCCTTGGAGGTTGATTGAAAGGGGGAGCCTGTTTGACTTGTCATACCTGCAACTGTGGAAGGGCAGTGCGTGTAGTCATCACAACACAGTACACGGATGTTGTAATTAAAGCACATGTTGAATGTCCCCTTTTGATCTTCATTTCGGCAAATCAGGCCAAATTTCAGGCTGCACTGCAGAATCTGTCCAATCTGGTCAATGCTCACTTCAGGATAATTTTCAGCACGGCACTCAAGTTTTTGGGGTTGTTGGCAAATCGTTCCTCCTGCTTTCCTGATATTATCATATGTTTCAATGTCTCCCCCACTGATTCCAGAAACTGGGAAGTCCATATCAAACCATTCCGTCCACTCACACTTTGGTTGACAGGGAGTAGAGACTAGGGTTGTGACATGTGAGATGGTTGAAATTGTTGAGGTGGGGCCAGGAGGACCTAGTGTGGTAGTCTGTGACCCCAAAGGTGTGATCAGCTGTGTTGTTGCTGCTGAAATCGCTGGGTTTGGAGATTGTGATTTTGTTTTCTGTGTTGCTTCCGTGGATGAATGGATGGGAGGAGAACTTGTCTTGACTGTGGTCTGCCTTGGGCTGGCAGTAGCTGCTCTTGTCACCTCCACCGTCTTGGTCTCGGTAGGCAACGGTGTTGATATGGACACTGCTGAGGTCCTTGCTGTGCTGAGGATGGCAGCGGTGTGTGGGTGGGGGACTGAAGGGGATGTAGATAGAGATGTGGTGGTCACCTTGGCTGTAGTCCTTGGAGAGGAATGTGTGGACAGAAGAGTGCTTGGTGTGGACTCTTGGGTAGCAGTGGCGGCTCGGCTGCTCTCTGTCACCAGCCTTGTAGTGAGTAATGATGGAGTCTTTGGAGTCTGGGGTCTTTGTGTTGTCTGTATTGCTTCTGTGGATGAATGGATGGGAGGAGAACTTGTCTTGACTGTGGTCTGCCTTGGGCTGGCAGTAGCTGCTCTTGTCACCTCCACCGTCTTGGTCGCGGTAGGCAACGGTGTTGATATGGACACTGCTGAGGTCCTTGCTGTGCTGAGGATGGCAGCGGTGTGTGGGTGGGGGACTGAAGGGGATGTAGATAGAGATGTGGTGGTCACCTTGGCTGTAGTCCTTGGAGAGGAATGTGTGGACAGAAGAGTGCTTGGTGTGGACTCTTGGGTAGCAGTGGCGGCTGGGCTGCTCTCTGTCACCAGCCTTGTAGTGAGTAATGATGGAGTCTTTGGAGTCTGGGGCGGTCTTTGTGTTGTCTGTATTGCTTCTGTGGATGAATGGATGGGAGGAAACTTGTCTTGACTGTGGTCTGCCTTGGGCTGGCAGTAGCTGCTCTTGTCACCTCCACCGTCTTGGTCGCGGTAGGCAACGGTGTTGATATGGACACTGCTGAGGTCCTTGCTGTGCTGAGGATGGCAGCGGTGTGTGGGTGGGGGACTGAAGGGGATGTAGATAGAGATGTGGTGGTCACCTTGGCTGTAGTTCTTGGAGAGGAATGTGTGGACAGAAGAGTGCTTGGTGTGGACTCTTGGGTAGCAGTGGCGGCTGGGCTGCTCTCTGTCACCAGCCTTGTAGTGAGTAATGATGGAGTCTTTGGAGTCTGGGGCGGTCTTTGTGTTGTCTGTATTGCTTCTGTGGATGAATGGATGGGAGGAGAACTTGTCTTGACTGTGGTCTGCCTTGGGCTGGCAGTAGCTGCTCTTGTCACCTCCACCGTCTTGGTCTCGGTAGGCAACGGTGTTGATATGGACACTGCTGAGGTCCTTGCTGTGCTGAGGATGGCAGCGGTGTGTGGGTGGGGGACTGAAGGGGATGTAGATAGAGATGTGGTGGTCACCTTGGCTGTAGTCCTTGGAGAGGAATGTGTGGACAGAAGAGTGCTTGGTGTGGACTCTTGGGTAGCAGTGGCGGCTGGGCTGCTCTCTGTCACCAGCCTTGTAGTGAGTAATGATGGAGTCTTTGGAGTCTGGGGCGGTCTTTGTGTTGTCTGTATTGCTTCTGTGGATGAATGGATGGGAGGAGAACTTGTCTTGACTGTGGTCTGCCTTGGGCTGGCAGTAGCTGCTCTTGTCACTCCACCGTCTTGGTCGCGGTAGGCAACGGTGTTGATATGGACACTGCTGAGGTCCTTGCTGTGCTGAGGATGGCAGCGGTGTGTGGGTGGGGACTGAAGGGGTGTAGAGATGTGGTGGTCACCTTGGCTGTAGTTTTGGAGGAGGAATGTGTGGACAGAAGAGTGCTTGGTGTGGACTCTTGGGTAGCAGTGGCGGCTGGGCTGCTCTCTGTCACCAGCCTTGTAGTGAGTAATGATGGAGTCTTTGGAGTCTGGGGCGGTCTTTGTGTTGTCTGTATTGCTTCTGTGGATGAATGGATGGGAGGAGAACTTGTCTTGACTGTGGTCTGCCTTGGGCTGGCAGTAGCTGCTCTTGTCACCTCCACCGTCTTGGTCTCGGTAGGCAACGGTGTTGATATGGACACTGCTGAGGTCCTTGCTGTGCTGAGGATGGCAGCGGTGTGTGGGTGGGGGACTGAAGGGGATGTAGATAGAGATGTGGTGGTCACCTTGGCTGTAGTCCTTGGAGAGGAATGTGTGGACAGAAGAGTGCTTGGTGTGGACTCTTGGGTAGCAGTGGCGGCTCGGCTGCTCTCTGTCACCAGCCTTGTAGAGGTGAGGGATGTCTGTCCTGTGGTCCCAGTCCCCAGGCTCGTGGTGAATGGCAGCATTGTTGCTGGTGGTATGACTGAGGTCCTTCCATGGCAATGGCTGTCATCACAACACAGGACCCTGATCTTGTAGTTATTACACATTTTGAACAAACCTTTTTGTTCCTCATTTCTGCAGATCAAGCCAAAGCGAACATCACATTGGACAACCTGTCCTACCTCCTCAATAGTCATGTCAGGGTAGTTCTCTGCCTCGCATTCAATGCCCTGAGGTTCCTGACAAAAGTCCTTTTCTGTCTTCCTGATCTTATCATATGTTTCAATGTCTCCACCAATTTTTTCTGACTTGGGGTAATCTGTATCAAACCACTGTGTCCACTGGCATCGGGGCTGGCAGGTCACATTGGGAGTACTGATCCTCGTGGGTATGGATGACATCTGTGAGGTCAAGGTTGATAATGTTTGGGGGAGCATTGTGGAAGCTTTAGCCGTGGTAATGGATCTGGTGATAGGTGTACTGGTCTTCACGGCTGTGGACCTGCCACAAGGCACATAGCTGCAGCACAATACTCGGATCTCATAATTGTGGCACAAAGGTGGGTTCTGCTCTGCATTATAGCATAGCAGCCCATGGGATAGGCTGCACTCCACCTTCTGTCCCACTTCTCCTAGTGAGATACCAGGAAATGCCTGGGCCCTACACTCCACATCACGGGCTGTGGAGCAGAGTTGGTATCCATTTAGCCGTAGGTCCTCAAATGTCTCAAAGTCTCCACTGTCGAGCCCTGCACTTGGTGTGCTGATGTCATACCAGTCAGACCATTCGCAAGCTTCTCGCACACACACTGTGGAAGTGGCTGAGATGGTGGTGGCAGGCCCTGAGCAGGGAGAGACAAAGGGAAATCCCTTGTGGAACCTGGTCTCTTAGGGTAGGCAGCCCCTGGTACTGATGACAACCCAGTGTACATTTCCACAGCACCAAGGACTCTCCTCACAGTGGCACATTAGCTCCTTTTTTCAGAGTAAGAAATGGTGGCTCCCAGCAGAAAGCAGACAGAGAAGAGGATGTGTACCAAAATGAAAGGCCCTGGGCTTGAAGGCAGGGAGCCCTGGGTTTATATCCCACTTCAGGCATTTCCTTCCTATGTGATTGGGGGCTAGTCACTTCAACCTGCTTGAGCCTGTGTGGGATGATAATATCTTCCAGCTCATGGGCTTTTTGTGAAACTCATATGAGTTCATGTCTGTGGGCTGCTTGTGGAAAGGCTCACTGCCCTTGTTATGGACCCATTAGTCAGTCAGGGCTGGGACCGGATGGCCTCTCAGAGAGATCCCATCACACACACCTATGACTGCCATCCTGCTGGCACAATAAAACTTCCCCTGGGGCACTGACCACAACCTTCCCTGGCAATGATCCCAGAGACCCCCAGCTGGAGGACTCTCAGAACTTGGCTGGCAGTAGGACATCCCAGGCCAGGTGATGTCAAGCTCAGTGGACACCCTCAGGCTCTCCAGAGGAGCAACATGCACATGGAGTGGTGAAGGAGCAATAGAGATCCCAGCCAGTGGTTCTGAGAGCTCTGGGGCTCCAGGGAAGCTACCAACAGCCAGCAGGACCCAGAGGACCAGGGATCATGGTAGTCAGAGCCCCAGGCTGGCAGCCAAGATCCTGGCATCTGATTCTGGCTCTGCTCATCACTAGCCAGGGGATGCAAGACATGTCCTTCCTTCTCTCTGTGAGACTGGGGGTGTGGGGGGGGGCTTAGAAAACCATCGAGGTCTTCCCAGCTTTCCCATTCTGGAATTCTAACCATCCAAGTTAGAAAGGGAATGTTTACTCCCTGCTCTGGACATTTCTGAACACTTGGCCAAATAAATGGGCATGTCAGGGATCTGCTTGATAACAGTTTCAGCTTTTGGGCTCTTAAATGGGCCAGGATCTTTTGTTATTATTATTAATATTTATTTTTAGTCATCACCATCACGAGTGACCACAGGGTGGTCAGCCTGGGAGGAACTGTGGAGCCTCTTTCAGCCAAATGCTTCATTCCACCCAGCCTCAGAGGTTACCTGCTGTGGACTCTGGCGTCCTGCTGGTAGTGAAGGTGAATGGTGCCATGGTGGAGGGCATCATGGGACATTCTTTGGAAATGCGCTTGATCTCCCCATTGTCTCCGCAGATGGCAATGAGGCAGGCTCCCAGGCCGTCCGTGGTATTGTAGATAACCTCGTGTCTATGGTACTTGTGACCCTCATATGTGCAAGTGCACTCTGAAAAGCCAGGAGACCAAATGGCATCATTTGATGCATGTCCGAGGAGCTGGGAGTCCCTGTCCCCAGGCATCTTGCAGCTTACTCACCATTTTGGTCTGGGGTGCACTGTATGCCGCTTATGGTACAGTTACTAGGAGTGAAAAGGAGAGGGGAAAGAATGTGGGGCATGGGAAATAAACCCACAAGGACAACAGCCAATGACAAATAACAGGCTACCACTCATACCTGGGATGCATTCCCTCTTCCCCTTCATACCTCAAATCCTTAACTTTCTTCAATGTATAGAGCTCAGGTGGTGCCTTCTAAAAGAGACCTTTCCTGTTAGTGTAGTTCCTGTGTATCCAGTAGGTGGTTAATAAACACATGAGTGTATAGAGCTCAGGTGCTGCCTTCTACAAGAGACCTTTCCTGTTAGTGCAGTTCCTGTGTATCCAGTAGGTGGTTAATAACACATGTTGAACTGAACGGAATTCCTCCCCTGTGCCTTGGCCAATGCTCTCCTGATTCCCCAAGCCAAGAGCAGAACTACCCTTCTGACCTACCAGCTCTGGCAGTTGGCTTGGCTCACGACTTTGTCTCCCACTTCGTAATAGTGCCCATCCTCATCATAGCAGCCACATTGTTCAACACACTTCATCTGGCTTTCACTGAAGAAAGGCTTCTTGGCCGGGCAATTTGGGTAGCAGCCTGGGGTGGGCAGAGAGGAGCAAGGCTTCAGTGAGGGGTCCACTCCCCAAGGAAGAGGAGGGAGGAGGACAGTCAGTGCCCTCCCTGCATGGCCAAAGGGAGGAGGATCACTGGAAGAAGCTGGAGAAGTTTAGTCCAGGAAGAGAAGGCTGGGGGAGGGGGGCAGCAGAACCGCCCTCAAGCACTGTCGTGGGGAGGAGGGATCGAGCTGATTATGCCTGGTCCCAAGAGGCAGAAGCGGGAGCAATGAGAGAGGGAGAAATGCAAAGGCAGATCTAGTTTTAATGTCGGGAATAACTCCCTAACGATGAAAGCTGTCCCTAAGTGGGATTCGGTGGATTCCTCCCTGACCTGTGGTCCTGAAATAGAAACCCAGTGACCGCCCGTTAGGAGGTTGAGGCGGGACTCCCAGTCAGGGACAGGCTAGAGGTAGAGAGTCCACGATTCTCTCCTCAGTTGAGATTGGGTCTGGCTGTGGTCACTTTACATTCTTTAGGGAGCACGCAGCTCAATCACTCTGTTTTACAGATTAGGAAACTGAAGCTCAGAAGGGAGCCTGTCTAAAGTCGAACAGCAGAGTGCTGATGGCATAGCCAGGAGCAGATCAGGCCCAAGCCCAGAGATCACTCTTCTGCTCATCCTTTCATGGTTCAGGCTAGACTTTGGATCTATCAGAGCTCTGACTCATCTCCTAATCTGGGCAATTAGCTTGAGTTGCCCTGTGCACATCGTGGGTGAGGAAGGCCATTAGCCAGCTCAGCCAGGTGATGGGGAAGCCCCAGCTTCCCTCCGGGAAAAAAATCCCTTTTGGTCAGGAATAAGGCAGAACTGTCCCTCCCAGGCTCCCTCAATAGGCCAGCAAGAGCTCTCCAAGACAGTCAATGAGCACAGAGGGAGCTCTGCCTGTTTCATTCCCCAGTACTTCAGGAGCCAATAGGAGCAGAGGCCATCCCTGGCTTTCCCACTGGGGCAGGTGCCAGTGTCTGTTCAACTGGAAGGTCAGGACCTCATGACCAACACCTGTGTCTGAAGGATTTTGGGTTTGACTGAGGACATTGAGGCTGGGGTTGGGGTGGGAGGTGAGCAGAGGAAATGCCCAAATGGACCAGAAGACTGCCAAGCTGGGTCCAGACCCAGGAACTAACAACAACAAAAGCTGACTTTTATATGTCATTTGCTGTGTGCCAGGCACTGTGATAAGTGCTTTACAGATATCATCTCATTTGATCTTTCTGACAACCCTGGCAGGGAGGAGCCATTATTAGCCCTATTTTAGAATTGAGGAAACTGAGGCAGACAGAGGTCAAGTGACTTGCCCAAGGTCACACAGCTAGTGAGGATCTGAGGAGGGATTGAAACTCAGATCTCCCTGACACCAGTTCAGGGCTTTATCCACTGAGCCTCCTAGCTGCCCCTCACAACCCTCACCCTAGATCCCATTTCCTTCCCCAAAAGACTTAAACCAGATGGTCTCTGACCTTTCACTCTCAATCTCAGAGTTGGGAGGAACTTCACAGACTGTCGAGTCCCACCCATCCCTAGTTTTCTGATCCCAATCAGAGGGAATCCCTTCACAGTTGAGGGTAGGCATGATGGAGGAGGGGCCATGGCAGAAATTGGTGGCCTTTTGTTTGGGGGAGTTGGCCCCCATGCTAGGGGTGCAAGTCAGATTTCAGGGCAGCCTGTATGGGGACTGCACTTTGGAACCCCTCCCTTGTACCCCTGATCTTGGAACCTTGGAAAGCTCTGAGTTCCAGAGTCCTCACTGTGACCTCTCCCAGGCCAGCACTGCTGCACTGGCTAAAATCTCCTTCCTTCTCCATCCTGACTCCTTGGCCAACCAGCTTAACAATTAAACTGTCCTCTCTTTTCAAGTCCTTGTCCCTTCCCCCCATCACCAATCATACCCTGCCAATCTTGGATCGCCTCCACCATCTGCTGCCTACACCCTTATTGACAAACTGACCAGCCCTAACTTCACTGCAGCAAGGCAACCATTGTATTTCTCTCTAATTGAGTCTCTAGCAGACTCAGAAATGGCCATTCCAGACCTTGTGTTCTCTTCTTAAGCCTTCCATGGCCCATGGCAGACTCTGCCCTTACCCTCTCATCTGAGGACCTAGCCTCATACCCGATAGACAAAAATGGTCTTGAGTTCCTTGTCCTGTTGTCCTTAGACATCTACACCCACAATCTTTTCCTTTGTTCCAGACTGTGATAAAGAGGTGGCCCTCCTCCTCGCCAAGGCAAACCCTTCTACAGATAAGTTCCAGGTTGAGATATCCAGCCCTAGCATCTTCTTTTCAAGAATGCTTTCAGTTTTTAAAAATGTTTGAAAAAATAACATGTAGGTGACTGTTTTATTTCTTATATGCCACTAGAACTTATATTTTTACCCATGTCATTACTTCATAAAGCATATCAAGTCACTTGAAAGAAAGAAATGATGTAAATTGGTCAATAGCCTGCTGCCACTGCCATCTCTCCCCCCTCTTCTTCCTCAGCCCAGCCCTAACATCTCTTCTGAGCTCTAGTCCTTCATCACCAACTGTGCCAGTTAGACATTTCAAACTGCCTGTCCTGTAGGCACCTAAAGCTCAACGTATCTAAAGAAAAAGTCATTATCTTCCCAACCCCACTCCCAAACCATATCATTCTGAACTTCCCAATTGTTGTCAAGGGCATCGCCATCTTCTTCATAATTTAAGAGTCATCCTGGACTCCTCACTCTCTCACCACCCACATCCAAGATGGTGCCAAGGCCTGTCAATTTCACCTCTGCAGCATCTCTTGTCAGTTTCACCTCTGCAGCATCTCTGGTCCATTTCACCTCTGCAGCATCTCTTGTCAGTTTCATCTCTGCTGCATCTTTGGTCCATTTCACCTCTGCAGCATTTCTCCAATATGACCCTTTCTGTCCTCTGATGCTGCCCCTATCTTGGTGCAGACCCTCATTACCTCACACCTTGACTATTGCAATGTCTGCTGTGGGACCAACCTGCTTCAATTCTCTCCCTACTCTAGTCCATCCTCCATCTTGACCATGTCACCCTATTCCTGAACAATCTCCAGTAGCTCCCTGTCATCTCCAGAAGCAAATACAAAATGCTCAGTTTGGTATTTAAAGCTCTTCCTAACCCATTCCCTTCCCACCTTTTCAGTCTTCTTACACCTTACTCCCCAATATATACTCTTCAACCCAGTGACACTGGCCTCCTGGCTACTGGTCCTTGTACATGACACTATTTTATGTCTCTGTCCCCCAGGCCTGGGATGTTTTCCCACCTCCCTTTCACCTCTTGGCTTCCTTGGCCTCCTTTGAGACTCGGCTGCAGGTCCACCTTCTTGCAGGAGGCCTTTCCTGGTCCCCCCAGCTGCTAGAGCCTACTTCTCTGAGATTTTCTTCCATTTACATTGTATATGTAGGTACCATATTGTGCCCTTTAACATGTGACAGCTTTGTGTCCAAGAACTGCTTTGGCATTTCTATATATCCCTAGAACTTGGCACAGTACCTAGAGCATAGGAAGCATCTGGTAATTGCTTGTTGATTGAATCACAGAGAGTAGATCAGAAACTACGGAGTAAACTGGCCCTTCACCCTGCCCATTCCCCAGGGAGCTGTCCCTAGTCCTGGGCTTTCCGTTTTCCTCTTTGGGGATCAAGTCTTAAGTTCTCAGAGCTGGACATACCTTCTAAACCAGGTAAGTTCACCAAGCACTTCCCACTCGGGTTGCGACAGGTCTTCAGACAAGGTGCCCCACATGGCTGGTAGTGCCAGTCACACTCCCCGTGGGGGTTGTAGAAGTCACAGAACATGGCTGAGGGCAAAGAGAGGGGAGGAGTGGGAAGGGGAGAAGAGGAGGGCTTTCCTGGTTTCCAATGCTCCCAACACCAAGAGGGCAGAAGGCTGTCTAGCAAGACTAGTGCCCAGACCAGCCATTCTCTTGAATTCCCAGAAGGCAAAGGAGTGGGCCATGCTTCTATCCCATAACTGTTCCACCCAGACCCTCCGCTCCCACTGCCATGTTCTTGCTCAGGCAGGACCTGATGCCTGTAACACCTCACTTCCCTGCTTCACCTGGGGGACTGCTATTCATTCTTCAAAGCCTGATTCCAGCCACTCACCGCCCGTGGGAAGCCTTGCCTGGCCGCTGCCTGGACCTTTGCCTGGACTCCACCCCTGTCACATCTACCATATCCTTTATAGCAGTCGGCTGTGTCTGTGGCCCACCCACTCCCAGCTGAGAGCTTCTCTGGCTCTGCTTCTGTCTGTCCTGTGCCTGGCACACAACCAGACTCCACAGAAGATCTGTCTGATGGGATGAGGGTGCTCAGCTTTCAAAGTGCCTGGGGTGTGCACACACATGTGGGTTGTACGCACACTGCTTATCCATGTCAGATCATGCCCAGCTGTGTGTGCTTTGCCCTACCCCCCCCCCGTGTGTCTGGAAGCAGATGCTGACAGGTAGGCCATCAACTCACGACAAATGTCTGGCCTTCTCCAGGAGACACAGACGCCCACATCATTGCAGGCTTGGGCGTAGGCTGCCACTGCTGTACAGAAGCACTCACAGTCTCCCCCAGAGTCACAGGCACAAGCGTCTGACACACAGGCCTCATAGTATTTGGTAGAGTCCACCTGGGAAGGAAGAGGAGCTGAGGGTCCGAGCTCCACTCCGGCCTTTTACTCTCTGCCTGCCCCTCCACCCTTTGTTTTGGACAGCAGAAGCTGCTGATGGGCAGAGACTGGGCCATATTCTGTCTCTCTGACCCCAGGTCACAGCCCGGGGCTCTGCCCATGGTAGCAGCTCCCAAACACTGGGTGGTTGGCCTGGCCTAGGTTCTGTGACCTCAGCTCTCCCTGCCCAGCCCTCACCATCACTGTTGGATTGTGATTGTCTTATCTGAAGGCCATCGCCTTCCAGGCTGTAGCCTGGGTCCTATATAAAGCAGATACTTAATAGAGGTGAGCCACTTTGGCTACAAAGGCTTAACTGACTAGGTTTGCAGGCTAATGCACCTCTATCCAGCACAAGCCATCCAAACAGGTCCACCTTCCACAGCCCAAGAGGGAGGCCCCACCATGCCTGTGCTGGGCCCATGGGGAAAGGAAAAAGGCTCGGTCATGCTGGGGGCCTGGCACACAGTAGGTGCTTCTCAGGGCTACCAGCCAACCGACCAGTAATGGCTGATAATCAGGCAAGCCTTGTCTTCCCTCCAGGCTCAGCTGGGGGCAGAGGGACCTCTTCCACAAAGCCTTCCCCAACCCCTGCAGAGCCAGAGCTCTTTCTGTGCTCATCTTTCCTCCCACCATTCTTGTGGCTAAGTCCTGTCCCCTGGGAGAATCTAAGCCCCTTGAGGGCAGGGTGGGTAATTTTTATTTTTGCATCCCTAGCACAGTGCCTGGCACCCAGTAGGCAGCTAATGTTGTTTAAACTGGGCTGGTCCATGACAGGTCTCACCAACTCTCCTCCTGGGAACAGAAAAGCCAGAGGAAGAGAGTGTGGGCTGGCCAGGGTGCATCAGCAGGAAGGAGGCAAGTAAGCCCCTTCCCCCTTGGGCTCCACGGGTAGCTTCATACAGCTGAAGCTGTATACGTACAGAGCCAGGCCCTGGCACATGCCCTGCATGTGGCTCAGCACCTTGCACCCTTGCCCTGGAGAAAGGACCCCTGGCATCTCCCGAAGTACCTGGGAGCGGCAGGTGGCAAAGATGGCACTGTTGATGATGCTGCACTGCTTCTGGGCCCAAGCCTTGCGGTAAGGGTTGGCGGTGCAGGGGTCCCTGGTGGGGCCGGCGTCCGGGCAGGAGGGGGACATCTTCCAGCTGGTCCCGAATTCCTGCACGTCGCCCACCACCGAGAGGCTCCTGGTGGTGAAGTCATTCATGCTGTTACCGTCATAATTCCCGCAGAGGCCGCAGACCTTCCCCTGCACACAGAAAACCAGAGAGCAGGCTCAGGACCCCTATGGGGGCTGCTGCCTCGCTCTGGAGCTGATGGCCCTTCACAGGATCTCCTGGACCGAGGACCACACTCTGTAGTCAGCACTGATGCTGTAGAAGCACCACCCCAAATGGGTGCGTTTCACCACTAAAGGAGGTCTCTGTGGAGGATGGAGTGTAGGGTTCCACCAGGATGCAGGGGCCGGGGCCTGGAGTCAGACAGACCAGCCTCACTCAGCTCCAGGCTGACTGTCTGCTACCTCAGGTGGGGGGGTTGGGACCTCTATCCACCAGGGAAACCACCAACCTTGGAAGTCTGGGAGCACAGAGACTTTCTAAGGTATGACCCTTGGCGGGCAGAGAGGGCTGGGTGAACACCCCTTGGCAGGCAGATTGTATAAATACTGCTACCCCCACTCAAGGCCAGAGAAGCCCCAAGCTCAGAGAGCAGGACTCATGTTTCCCTTGTGCCTTCCTCATAATAAGTCCATGAAGTATGCAGTGGGAGCCTTTACAGATGGGGAAATGGAGGCCCAGAGAAGGGAAGGGTCTTCCTCACGGCCACATAACTGGCTTGAGGCAGTCAAGTCTTTCCCACGCAGCAGGACGCCAAATATGTTAAGAGTGAGCCCCTGTGGGACTGAAGCGGCCCCTCCCTCTCCCCCCATCTACTGCCGTGGCCAGGCCTGACCTTATAGTGCTGGTGTAACTTAATGAAGATGCTGGTTTTCCGGTCCCACATCAGAACCATCCCCACTTGGGTCTCCAGGACCATGTAGTTGCCTCTGGAGTGGATCTTGTATGGGACCTCCTTGCCTGGCCCTCTCTTCACCATTTTCACAATGCCCTCATTGAATATCAGTTCAGTTCCCTAGAAAAGGAGGAAGGTAGAGGGCCTCTGAGTTCGTGCCTCAGCTGTAGGCTTTCTCTTCAGCTCTCCTGCCCCTGGAGCTCATTCTCCCCCACATTTTTACGAAGGAGCAGGGCAGCACTGACCACCCCACAGCCTGGCTGTTTGTGGTTGGATTTTAGACTTTTTCCTTGGCTAGAAGCGGGAGCCTGAGGAGACCCCTTGGCAGGCCTCATCATCCAAAAGTATCTGAGCAGTCACTGCCTTGGTTAGTAATGCCTGGAAGGTGTACCAGCCCTTCTCTGCTTGGCCCCGAGGACAGTTGGGGCAGGGGTGGTGCGAACAGGACGAATGAAGCTGAAAGCCAGGAAGAAGGTGAGGAAGGTCTCTAGCACTGGGAGGACACCCAATGGCAGGCCCAGACAAGAGCTGCCCGGGATGGAGCGGTAGATGGTCGTCTGAGGGAGCCTCTGAGTCACTGAGATCAGTATCCCACAGGACTGCCCAAGACCAACCGGGCTTTCCCCACCCTCAGGACTGGTCCGCGCTGGAACAGTCAGGGCAGACCCTGGGATGCCACAGAGGGGACGCCTGCTGCACAAGAGCAGGGAGAAAGCCCTCATCTTGGGTGGCAAGGGGGGTGCTCCCAGAGAGGCTGGCTCCCTGACTCACCTTGAGAAACACTTTGATGGCTTTGGAGCAGGTGACGCCCGTGGTTCCACAAGGGATGTTCTCTGTGATCACACGGAAGGTCCCGTTTATGGTGGTGTTTCCTCCACAGTAGTCCTGGGGGAGGAGAGAAGAGGGAGTGACAAGGTCTGGGGACTGTGCTGGGGCAGCCGCAGATGGAGAAAGCGGAAACCAGAGGAGCCGACCTGGGCCAGGGTGTACTCGCAATTCCCCTCAAAGCTGTAGCGCTCACTGTCAAAGGTGATGAAGTGCCCATCTCCATAGACTGCGCACGTGCCCAGGCACGGGGCTTGGGTGCACTCCCACCTCCGGTTCTTGCAGGTGCTGAGAAGCAAGAATTTGGAAGAAAACAGCTTATTCCTCTGGGTGCCCGTTCTTGGAGACTGCTCACGAGATCCTCCAAAATCCTGCAGGGCCTAGTATGTCTCAACTTCCTCCTCCTCCAGGAGGCCTCCCCTGACTGCCGCTGTTCCTGCCTTCACTTCTCGGATCCCCATGGCTGCTCCCCCAAGCTGAGCCTGCCTCTCCCCACTGAATGCTGAATTCTTGTTGGGGCACAGGGGGGTAGAGCCCTGAGCTCAGTCAGGAGGGCTGGCTCTACCATGTTCAACCTGGATGATCCAGGGGAAGTCATTGAACTGTTCTTGACCTCAGTTTGCTCATCTGTAAAATGAAAAGTGATCTGCAGATGTTGGTGTTGTGGGGGGATGGGGAGGGTGGTTATTATGGGTTTGCTGGTGGCCAGGTAAACTGGGAGGTGGAGGGTGGTTACAGCCAGAGCTGACCCTCACTCCCTTACAGTGGTGGCTTCTTGACTCCTTTCCAATGGCATCTGGCTCTCGGTCAAGGACCTTGGCCCCAGAGAATCTCAGTATCACAAGGCTGGCAGGGACCTTACAGGCATCATGTCCGACCCATACCTGAACAAGCATCCCTCTGTAGTGTTCCCAGCACTTGGTCACCAGACTTCCCACTCTGCCCTACCTTGAGCCACCCGGGCCTCTGGTTTTCCCTCCTGCTGAGGGCAGCACAGAGCAGTGGACCTTGTATGGAGTCTCCCTGTGTTCAGGAAGACCTGGGTTCCAATCCTGCCTCAGACCCTAGCTGTGTGACCCTTTCTGGGCCTCAACTCATCTGTAAGGTGAAGGGGTCAGACACGATGACCTCCCAGTCTCTTCCTGCCTGCTGTACTCCACTGATCCTCAGGCCCTCGGAGCTCACTGGTAACTGATTCTGTCCACGCCCACTTACCACTTGTTACAGTCCACTTGGATGGCTTCCCCCGATTTGTAGGTAGCCTCATTGTGAACACAAGGACAGTCTTCCTCCTTGACACAGATGTTTCCGTCCTTCACCAGACTGCTGGGACAGATGCAGCCGGACACACACTGGGTGTTGTACTATTCAAAAAAGGACAGTGAGTGGACTACTTGGGAATAGCATTTGTCGGACACCCTGTGTGACCCTGTTTGACCCATCCTGTAGGGCTGTGGCCCCAAAGGAGACTCAGCCCTCATCTATGTACACAGATGGACAAGTAAGTTCATGTGGCTTCAGAACAGGACTCACTGGTAACCTGGTAACCTGAGTGGCCTTGCCCTCCTCAAGGGCCCATCTAACCAAGGCTGTATAGAATGAGAAAGGGTAGCCTGGCACCCTCCATGGACCACTCTCTGCTGGGCAGAGGCTTGTGAGGGATGGCACTGCCCAGGCATTGGCACATCCCCTTGGCAAATGAGCTCAGGTTTTTGTAGAAAGAGAACCAGGCCCTAAGCTTTGCCTCCTCCAGGAGCCGCTGGCAGGTGTGTGGCTGACTGGTGGGGAAAAATCTGAATGGACAGAGGCTATTGACCTCCAGAAGTTCCCTGGCACAGAATTAGGAGGGACCGTAATGGTCTGGTCAACCCCATAGTGATGTCCCTGACCTCCGGGAGACAGTTCTGAGGGTTACCCATGGATGGGCATGGGCCTCCTGGCTGCATTCTGCCTGGGCAGGCCACCCTACTCACACAGGCCATGTCCAAAGTATCGCAGCTCTTCTGGCACTGGGCTCCCAGAGCTCCTGCTGAGGCGTTGCTGCAGTCCAAGTAGATCATGGGAGCCATGCAGACTGAGGAGGAAGAGGATGGGGTGAAGTGGGTCCACGAGGCTTTGTTCCTTCATACCCACAGCTGCCTGACTCCAGGTTGAACATGGGGCACGGCTGGACCCGGCCTGCCATGAGGGAGGGGGGGAGTGCCCTCAGGCCCAGGAAGGGGCACCAACCCAAGGTTTATATATCCACTTGGTATCTTCTCCCAGAAAACCCTAATTGGTGCTCCACATCCCCCAGGGGTGGCTCTGGCCAGCAGGAGGGAGCAGACAGTGGGAGGGGGAAAGGAGGGCTGGTACCTGGGTTTGAATCCATGCCTCCAAAGCAGCTCAGCTTCCCACTGGTGCAAGAACTATGGGCAGAGGGAAATGTCAGCAGTACTAGACCTGAATCTCCAGACGTCTCTTGTGCATCTGACTGGATGTCCCGTAGGCACCTCAAACTCAACCATCTGGAGTGGCCCTCACACCCTCCTCTCTTCCTCACTGTCCTACTGCTTCTGAGGGCATCACCATCCTCTTGACTCACCCAACCACCCCGGGAACCTCTGGCTCACAAGGCAGGCATCCAACCCCCTCCCACTGCACCCCATCCATTGAATGTCTCTTCATGCATCCAATCCATTGACGAATCTGAGCCATTTCTACCTTCATGGTATCTCATATACGCAAGGTCACCTCATTCCTGGACTTTTGCAACAGCCTCCTAATTGGCCTCCCTGCCTCAAGACCCTCCATTCTACATTTGGTTGCCAAAATGATCTTCTGAAAGCACTCCCCTCCCTCAATAAGCCCCTGTGGCTCCCTATTACCACCAGGATAAACAAAACATGCCCTGTTTAGCTTTTAAAGCCCAACTTATCTCCCCAACCCTGTTCTACGTCATCCCCCTTCCTGCACTGTGTGGTCCAGCTAATGGCTGTCTTGCTTTTCCTCACATGAGACACATCGCTCACCTCTGAGATTTTGCACAGCTGCCCTCTTACCCTGGAATCTGCTCCCACTTCCCCCTCTGCCTCTTTAAAATCCTTTGTTTTCTTCAAAACTGTCAATGTGCTACTTTCCGTGGGAAACGTTTTCTGAGCCTCCCTCCCGATACCAGCCCTGCCCCACCCCCACCACAATCTTGTATTATCTGGACATTTTTGGTGTCTACACATGATGGACATGTTGTCTCCCCCATCAGAATGCAAGATCTTGGAAGGCCGAGTCGGGTTTTGTGTCCCTAGCACCTGACACGGGGTTGTACACAGTAGGTGCTTCATAAATGCTTGTTGGTTGGGGGCCAGTTGGCCCTCTCAGCCCACTCTGATGACCTTGTCTCCAGTTCAGTTTCCAGGCCCTCTCCAAGGGCTCTTTGAGGAGGGGCCTGAGTCAGGAAAGAGCAGAAAGCTGCCCTGAAAGCCGCCTTCGGAGGGGCTCATTCACCAGCTGGGCTGCTCAAGCTACAGGGAAGCCATGGGGAAGATGGATAGGCCCTGGGCTGGGAGTTAGGAGACCTGTGTTCAAATCCTCCTCTTATACTTACTAGCTGCATGACTGTAGGCAAATTCCTTCCCTTCTCTGGGCCTCAGTGCCCTCCCGTGTAAACTGGGGATCTAGTCCCTCCCTAGCTGCTCCTTCGGGCTGCTGGGGGGCTCTGAGATCAAGGCTGGGGCCATGTCACTGCCCATGGCCCCCCTCTGCCCTCGGTGCACTCCCCCCACCCCCCGTGCATGCCCAGGGCCCTGCTCCATCTTCTCACCACACTGCGCCATTCTCCTGCACGGTCTCTCCCAGCGCCACTATGGTGCCCTTGTAGTAGCAGGGGCACTGGGTGGCAGGCACACACTGGCCTGCGTCATTGAGGTGGGTCCCGTGGGGGCAGACACAGCCATCCACAGGGCTGAAGCGGATGCTGCAGGTGGCATCAGTCTCACTTAGGGAGCGGCAGGTTGGCTGGCATGACTCCACCACGTAGCTGTAATTCAGGGAGCTCGGGCAGCTGTCCATGTATTTGGCTGAAGGGGGAGAAACAGGGACCTGAGAAACATGGACCTGAGAAACATGGGGCCAGCTGGGGGGAGGGTTGGGGGGCATGGGGGCTCTGGCCCCTCCCCTGCCTAAGTAGCTCCTGGGGGCTCTGGCCCATCTGCTTAAGAGACCCCAGGGGGCCTCTGGCCTATCTGTATAAGGGTCCCTGGCCCCTCCCCTGCCTAAGGGGCCCCACAGGAACTCAGGGGAAGACCTGAGTTCATGTGTTGGCTTTATAACTTATTGTAAACCTGCCTAAGTAGCTCTGCCATGTTGATCTCTGTTTCTCCATCTGCAAAGGCACAGGGTCGGGCCAGATACCTGCTTCAAACCCTTCTAGCTCTTCATGTTAGAATTCTGTGAGGATCCAGAAGGGAAGGGACTGGACCAAGGTCATACAGCAAACAGATGTCAAAGCCAGAATTGTGACCTAGGCCTCCTAACTCCCCCACTCTCTCTAAAGCTAGCCTGCCCCTGCTCCCTGTCCTACCTATTGGAGAGTTTCCCAGGAGATTGGGACTATGGCCTTGATGGGACACGGGCCAGTCACAGAATCCCAAAGTCTCCAAGCTGGCAGAGAACCCCTATACAGATCCAGCTAGGACCCATCCAGCCCTTGGAGGAAGAGCTAGGGGATGGGGAGCTCACTACCAGTCACAGCGCCCCTCTCACTCTTAGAAAGCTCTCTATGTTAGGCCATTTGTCCTGGCGTCAAGGCTTGGTTTGAAAGTCCCTCACTCCCCTGCCATTGCTTCTAGATCTAGCAGGTTCTCTGTGGGACCCTGGCCAAATCCCTTTATTTTTCTCTGAGCCTCAGTTTCCGTGTTTGTAAGATGGGTACAATGGTGCCTGTGGCCCCTTCCTCCTGGGACTATGGGGAGGACCAAGTGAGAGAGTGGCTTTAAATGTTTGACAGACCTCGGAGTGTCACTGAAATGTCAGTGGTGATTCTGCGCCTCTGAGGCCACAGCCAGAAAGCCTGGCACCTCCCTATGCCCTGAGTGCGAAGCAGGGCCTTCCAGGGCTCCAGGGAGGCCACTGGAGGGAGGTCCCCAGAGAAGGTCTCAGCATGGGCCTGACATAGAGTGAGCATTTAATAAATCCCCTCCTTCCTTCCTTCCTTCCTTCCTTCCTTCCTTCCTTCCTTCCTTCCTTCCTTCCTTCCTTCCTTCCTTCCTTCCTTCCTTCTTCTCTCCATCCCTCCCTTCTTTCTGGACACTGGACACCCTGAGATGAAAAGCTCTCATCCCTGCTCAGGCCCATCGCTGAGTACACAGGTGTCCTGTAACTGGTGTGAGTACCATATGTCTGAATGTGAGTGTATATATTGTGAATGTGCATGACTGTATGCATGTGTGTATCTGAGTGTAACACTATGTATGAGTTGTGTGTGTGAGTGTATGTGTGTATCACTGTATATGTGGGTATGTACGAATACGTGTGAGGTGTGTCTATGAATGTGTGTGACTGTGAGTGGTGTCTGAATGCGAGTGTATGTGTGTAGAAGTAATGTGTGTGTGTGTGTGAGTGTGTGCATTGTGTGAGTGGTGTGTCTGTATCTGAGTGTATGAGTGCGTATGTGTGTGTATGTGTGTATATGAGTGTGTGACTGTATGTGAAAGTGGTGTGCATCTGATTGCATTGTGTGGGTGGTGCTTGAGTGTATGTGTGTAAGTGAATGGGGGGGCACACAGGCTCCCCTGGGACATCTGCCCCTTCCCTGCACCCTCCTCATACTCCTGCCCCCTGCACTGGTTCCCAGTTTTTCCCAGTTCTTGCTCACTGGAAGGGTTCAGAACTTGAGTCTGACTGGGGCTCAAACTCCTTCTGGACCTCAGTTCCCCCATCTGTAAAATTAGAGAGTTGGGCTCTTGAAACTCCTAGGACAAGCCATTTCCCTTTTCTGAGTCTCAGTTTCCTCATTTGTAAAAGGGGGTGATGGTGAACCTACTAGGACCCCCTCAACCACCACCACTACAGAGCTGCCATTAGGAACATGCTGGGCAGAGCTCCGAACTCAGTGGAGATGCGAGCTGTTGTGAGGCTGCAGGGGGCATAAAGGATTCAGGAGGACCTGAGTTCAAGTCCTGGTCTGACACTTACTAACCAGCTGTGTGAACTCTCAGCCTCAGGTTTCCCATCTGTGAAATGGGAATGACCATAGCCCCTGCTTCCCAGAGCTGTAATGAGGATAATATGAGGTGACATCTGTACAGTGTCTGTCAGATCTTCAGTGGCCACACAAATGCCAGCTGTATGCTCCCCCTGCTCACTTACTGCAGACCCCAGCCCTCCAGCCACTCAGCAGCACTCCCTGGGCAGCACAGGCTTGCACGTAGGAGGATAGTGCCGCACACAGACAGTCCTCACTCTTCTCACAATTGCACGTGTCAAACATGCAGTTCTGGGGAGCAGAAAAGATACTCAGTGGCCCCAGGAGCCCCAGCCCCTTGTTGGGCTGTTCCTCATCCTGAGGATGGGGGAGGGGGTGGTCCAGCCTACTCTGTGGGACTCCTACCCCTGACTGCCATCCCAACCTCCCTGTGGCAGAGCCATCTCTTCTTCCTCCCCTCCCCTCCCCTCTCCTCCCCTCCCCTTCCTTTCCCTTCCCTCCCCTTCCCTTCCCTTCCCTTCCCTCCTCCCTTCCTCCCTCCCTCTCTCCTTCCTTCCCTTTCCCTCCCTCCCTCTCTCCCTCCCTCTTTCCTTCCTTCCTTCCTTCCTTCCTTCCTTCCTTCCTTCCTTCCTTCCTTCCTTCCTTCCTCCCTCCCTCCCTCCCTCCCTCCCTCCCTCCCTCCTTCCTTCCTTCCTTCCTTCCTTCCTTCCTTCCTTCCTTCCTTCCTTCCTTCCTTCCTTCCTTCCTTCCTTCCTCCCTCCCTCCTTCCCTTCCTCCCTCCCTCCTTCTTTCCTTCCATACATTTTAAGCAGGTGGAGGAAGGCACTGCACTCCTCGCTAAGAGCAGTCAGGCCTCCAGGGGCATGGATCTGGCTACCCCACCAGCCCCCACAAGGACAGTGGAGAGGAGGGCTTGCTGAGGAGGTGGAGAGAGGCAGAGCCCTAGTTTACAGATGTTCGTTTGGCCTTGAGACCCCAGAGACCTCCCTGCTGCCCAATACTCTGTCCCTGCCCTTCGGGTGTGCCACAGCTAGGCTCTGCAGGTGGCGCAGACCTTAGGAGAGGGGCCTGGGTCTGCCCTTAAGAGGTGCCAGCCCGAGCCTTCTGGGGCCAGGGCTGAGACCTGGGCCAGGATGGACAAAAGGGACTCTCCAGGTTCTCTTACCTTGTAGTAAGGCTCAGGGTTCACGAACACGTGGCATTGGGAGAAAGTGGCTCCAGGGTCCGTGAGTAGGGAGCACCAATGCTGAGCATAGTTTTCTGGGGAGGCAGGAGGTGGAGACCGCTTGGTCACCCTTCCCTGTGGGGCCAGGCCCCTAGAACAAGCACAGGCTACCCCCTCCCCCAGCAGGGCAATGGCTGCTCCCTACACTGTGGGAGTGAGCACCAGGGTCCAAGATGCATCCCCTGCACCCCAGGGGAGCCGCAGACTAACTAAATGTGGAGGGAGGGGATCCTCCTTCTCCCATAGGCCCAACAGCAGTCTTGCCCTCCTCAGACACCCTTCCCCATGTCTCCAGGTAACTCCAGCCTCCCTGGTCCCTTCTCCCAAGACGGTCCTCAATGCCCTCCCACTCCCCTGGGCTCCTGCGTCTTCTCTACCCTGTCCAGGCTCTCCCCGGAGAACCTCCTTAGAAGGGACACCCTACGAGGTCCAGGTACCATTTTCTACACTGAGAGAGCACGGGTTCTCAAAGCTGTTTTTGATGTTGGTGCAGTCGGCCTGGGTCTTCCAGGTGTTGGCAAAGGCTGCCCCTGTCCCTTCCACCACCCCACTGAGGGCTGTGAAATCATCCGCCTGGTTCTGGTTGAAGTTTCCGCAGAGGCCTGGGGAGGGGGGCAGCATGGGGTGGGGGGGAGAGTGCTCAGAATAAACTCTTCCCAGAGCAAAACACCTCCCCTGACATGACCCCCACAGGACCCTGCTCCCCCTCTGGCCAGTAGTGGGGGGTCCAAAGAGAGACCACAGAGGGGATTCCTGCCCGTCCAGGGGGTCCTCTCAGGGGCTCTCCCCTCCCCTTACCCCGGCACGGCAGAGGTGCCCGGGCCACTGCAGGGGGAGGGAGGGAGGACCTCCCTGGCTCCGTCTGGGACTCAGGGCAGTTGGTCTTTCCCTCGGCCAGTCCCCCGGGCAGCGGTCCTCACCACACATCTGGCTGCGGAAGGAGGGATCCAGACGCAGGGACAATTGCATGAAGGGCACCAGCTGTATCTGCAAGAGCAGGCCGAAGGTGGCGTGGACCAAGATGAAGTATGTCGAGGGCTGGAATATGGCGATGTTGGCTACAGACACAGGCGGGGAGGGGCAGAGTCAGCAGGAGGGAAGGAGGGAGGGAGGGAGGCACTGGCCGTGCTGAGAACCAGCCTTGGACACACACGCACAGTCAAACCAGCCAAGATATTTGCTTTGTATAATGCTGAGGCTTGGTATCTGAACGCCCAGATTCTGTCCTGAGGCAGGGGCACAGGGTAGAGGATCTCCAGTGCTCTGGGGTCCATTTCATGGCTCCAGAGTTGGGTGAACCGAGGGATGGCCCTCACTCACTCTCCCTTGAACCTGGCCTTCTGAATGACTTGGGGTTTGAAGTCAGGGGTGAAATGAATGTTTAAGGGGGTATGGGGCCCAGCCTCCTGTGTCCTTGTCAGCCCTGCTCCCTTTCAATGTAGCCCAGAACCTGCTCTCATACTTTTTAAGGGAGCAGTGACCAGGAAGTCGTTAAGGACCATGCCCACCAGTCCCCAGGTGACCTTGTGTGAACAAGGCTCAGTCTCCTCCTCTATAAAATAAGGGGATTGGCCCGGATGGTCTCCAGGGGTCCCTAAATCCTTCACTTCCGGTTGCTAGGATGAGGTGTGGCTCCTCCATCCGCAGCAGGGCCCCAGGATCTCGAGGAAGGAAGGCACCTCAGGGCTACCATCAGAAACCCTGAGGCATGAAGCTCCTCAGAGGCTGCGCCCAGGGATGCCCACCCAGGTCGGCCCTCTGCCGTGTCTTCTCATCTCAGAGAACACAGCCTGGGCAGGTTTATGTGACCTGGGTGAGCACCACCAGCTCAGGCTGAGGGCTGGCTGGTAGAGCTTCCCAGGGAGGTCTGGCCCTCACTCTGTGGGGCCCAGCTGGATGGAAACCCCTGTCACCTTGAGGGAGAACATGCCAGGTGGCTCAATGTGGGCCAGCTTCCCCAGGGCGATCTGATCCAAGGCCAGGTGTAAAGAAACCTCCCCGAAAGTGGGGACTGTGACCCCATGGGAGGTTCTGAGCAAGTTACAGCAACATGGGTGGGGGGGAGGAGTTACCACATGGGATGGGGAGGGCGGAGCTTTCTGCCCTCAAGGCCAGAGGCCTCGGGGGCTTCCAGTCAAGCCAGCCTTGGTTCTGGAGGGCCCCATGCTTCCAGGCACACCTTGCAGGGGCACCTACCTGCAGAGATGGGTAACTGTGTGTAGATGGAGTTTACAAGCACGCCCCCATTGGGCTGGATCCTGATGACCTGGGGTAAAAGAACCAGAGATGGGGCTGTCCATCCCTCTGGGGCTGCTCCTCCATCCTGCTCCCAGCAGCCCTAATGATCCTCTTGGTGCCTCAACCCTCCCAACTTCTCCCCCAACAGCTCCTGGTTCTTTCTGCTGGGGCCACACAGAATGAAGTGAACACCTTCTCCAGACCTGATCACAGCTCCTGAGTTCCTTGGAGGGCTTGGGTTCAAATTTGGCTTCTGCTGCTTACTCCCTCTACCGCCCTTCTTGGAGCCCATTTCCTCCTTTGCAAAGTAAGGGAGTTGGGCCAGATGACCTGAAAAGCCCCCTCCAGCTCGGGGTGCTCTATCCTGGGGTCCTTCTGAGCAGGGGCCCCTACAGCTGCCCAGACCTGCTTACTGTCTCTCCTCCATTCAGGTTCAAGGTCACTGACTGGAGGCAGTTTTCATTGTCTGTCATACCGCACCGGCGCAGCTCCCCCAGGATGGCGAAGGTGGTGTCCTCACACTTCTGATGGGGCAGAATTCCAGAGTGGCAGTCATTTGTGTGTGTATGTGTGTGTGTGTGCAAATGTGTGTGTGAATGCATACCATGTGTGAGTGTATATGTGTGAGAGGGTATGTGCCGATACATGTGTGTACGTGCATATGTATAAGAACATACGTGTGTCTGTGTGAATGTGTGCAAGTGCATACAAATGTATGTATGTGTAAGTATAAGTTTGTGACTATTGTGTATGTGTGTGAGAGTGTACATGTGGATGTGTGTGCATGTGTATCTATGTGAGTGTGTTTATATGGAAGAATGTATATGTGTGTGTGTGAATGTGTGCATATGGATGAATCGTATCTCTGTGTGTGTGTGTGAATGTGTACTAGTGCACATGCATGTGTAAGTGTCTGTGTGCTTGACCACCTGCATGCACAAGGTGGGCCAGCAGGCATGCCTGCCCCCAATGTCTCAGCAGCCTAGGTCCTCAGAGCTGAAGGGGAGCTTGGAGGCTTGTGTCCCAACCTCACAGCCTGAGCCTCGGCCCTGGCTCTGCTCCTCTGGAAGTCAGGGCTCCTAGCACCTTCAGGAGAGGCCCTGGAGTGCAAATCCCCTATCAGACAGAAGCCCCCTGAGGCCCGATGAGGGGCCATGTGACTCCCGTGGAGACTGCTTGATGACGCCCTCCCAGAGGGTGGCAGCTTGGCTCCCAAGGAAGGGAGGCACTCTCCCTCTCCTCCTCCCTCTCTCTTTTCACCTGCCTCCCTCTTTCCCATTCTGGCCATCCAGTGCCCGGTGGTCACCTTGGACAAGACATAGCTGCAGTCCCCGTGAATGTTGTAATGCTTCTGGTCAAAGGTGGTGATGTGGGACCCGCCTTCCACGGAGCAGGTGCCTGGGCACGGCAGCTCCTCACATTGCCAGAGACCAGAAAGGCAAGTACTGGAGGGGATGCAGAGAGAAGGATGGGCAGGTCAGTGATCAGGCCACCTCCAAAGGAATGCGTGGGCTGCCCCAGAAACATCTGGAGCAGTGGGGTGGGGGTGGGGGCAGAGGCGGTGTTACCAGGAGCTGCAGCGCGTAGAGAAGGAGGCTCCAGGCTTGTAGGTCTGGCCGTTGTGGGTGCAGTGACATTGGTCCTGGGTTACACAGCTCCAGCCCTGAACGTCATCCAGGACGGTCCCTACAAAGACAGGCGGCACAGGCCAGGAGTCGGTGGCGGGGGGGGGGGTAAAGGGAGGGGGTCTGACTGCACCAAGCTGGTGCACCAGGGGCCATCATGGCCCAGGGTGAACCGATGGAGGGGGCAAAGAGATGAGTCTGAAGAGGATGCAGGGGGAGCGGCCTCATGGCTGTGGGGGATGGGTCCTAGTCTGGTGACTCCTCCTTCTCTGGGCCTTGGTTTCCCAGAGTGTCAGGACCTCAACATTGGGAGAGGGGCTGGTGGAGACTTGCCTGGGGGGCAGAAGCAGCCATCCGTGCAGTGCTCCTCGCAGAGCTGGGACCGCTCAGGATTGGAACAGGTGTCCGCACAAGGGGAGCCACACTCGTGGTACTGCATGTTGGAGGGGCACGCCTTGTCTGGAATGGGGACACCAAGGCAGAAGCTTGCGACATGGAGAATCCCAATTCTTCTATTTGCCCCTAGGGCGAACTTGGCCATGCCCAGCTCCCCCCAAGCCTCAGTTTGCTCATCTCTAAAATGAGACCATAGGGTTAGACCCCCTGTGAGGGGCCCTGGCAGCTGTGGCTTTACAACCCTATGACCTCGACAGCCAGGCTTGACATTCGAAGCCCACCACAGTCTGGGACTCTTCTTATGCCCCCCTCCCTGCCCCCAGGCTGCAGTCAGTCACCACCACCTCCACACCCCCCCCACACACACACTCCACCCCCCCACAAATACCCACCACACACACACACACACACACACACACACACACACTCATATACAGTAAACACCCACCACATACACACACTCCCCACCACACACATACCGCACACTGAACACACACACTCATACCACATATATATATACACACACCACATACCCACCACACACACATTTACACCACACACACTCCATACACTCACACCACACATATATGCACACCATACATATACCACACACATCATACATACCTCCCCACACACCACAAACACACACCACATACCACATACACATACACACACATCACACATACCCCACACACACACCACAAATGCCCACCACACACACACTCCTCATGACATCCACCATACACCATGCGCATACACACACACACACACACACACACTCACACCACACACACACTCATGCCACACACATACATACGCATCACACACATATACACACCACACACACATCCCTACCCCCTACCACACACACACACTCACACACCTACCCCCCCACCACAAACACCCCCACCACACCTCCACCACACACACACTCATACCACATACACACACACACCCTGCCATGCACACACATACACCATCCCTGCCACCTCTGCTTCTATGCTCAGGCTCTTCTCAAGGGCTGATGTGGTCTTCCTCTGCTTCTTTGCCTGGTGAACTTCCCTGGCTCCAGCCTATAAAATCTACCTCCTCCGGGAAGCCTTCCCTGCAGCCTTTGCTCATCCCTGGGTAGGCAGCTGGTGGGAGGCCTGAGGGCCTCCCCTGGCACTTCCCACCATGGGGGTGGGGAGTGGGGAAGGGCGCCTTCATGCCCACCACTCACAGCACAGGTCCTGGCTCCTCCAGTTAAGTGGCTGCCCGCCTGCATGGGCACACTGCCTCGAGTACTCGGAGAAGGTGGCACACATACAGGAAGAGCGGTTAGCTTCTTTGCATCCACATAGGTCTTGTACACAGGCCTCTATGTAGGGCTTGGGGTCCACCAGCTGGTTGCAGCTGCTGAAAGCCAGGCCAGTCAGGACCCTGAGGCAGCTGCTCTCCTGGAGGAAACATGGCAGGGTTGGTGACCCAGTCTCAATGGCTGGTACTCAGACACAGAGACCATAGAGACTGACTGCCCCCTGCCCATCTCACAGAGGAGGAAACTGAGGAAGCCTGCAGAAGGAGAGGGGTGCTTCACGTTTCCTGGAAGCGGCTGAGCTGGGATTTTACCTAGAGCTTCCATTCCCCTTCCTCCCCCCCATCCCAACCCCAGGGTGACCAGCTGCTGCTGGTCTCTGAACCTGTTTTCTCCTCTATGAGATGAGAGTAGGAAGAGTGGATTTGACCAGGGATATCTGGTGTCCCTCTTCCCTGGAGATCCCACTGTCCCATGGCCTCCTGGCTCTTTCCAGGACCCTGCTCGGTCTGCCCTTGGCAAACCCCACTCAGGACAGGCCGGGTTCCATCCCCTGACATGGCTCCCCATCCTTGAGACTTTACTTCACCTCCTTCAGGTTCTCTCCACCTCCCAGGCTGAGAGCCACCTCTGTCCCCTCTGTGCTCCCCCATGAAGTCCTGTCTGGGCTCTTCTGCCTTTTTGTGTGCCAGCCAGGCTGGAGGCTTCCACTCTCCCCACCCCACACACTATTTTTTCCTCTCCCACCATCTCCCACCCTCTCATAAATCAACCATCCATCCATCCATCCATCCATCCATCCATCCATCCATCCATTCATCCATCTGTCCATCCATCCATTCATCCATCCATCTGTCTACCCATCCATCTATCCATGCAGCAGGTGGGGCCCTATGATGTTTGCTGAGGGAGAAGCAAAGGTAAGTTGACTCAGTTGGTCCCTCAGAGACATAACAGCTCAACACAGGGCCATTGGTCCAGGCACGGTGTGACAAGGCACCAACCCAGCATCATGGGAACCCATGGAGGGGACACTGCTGGGCTTTGGGTCTTTCCAGGTTGGGAGGAGGTGGAATTTGAGGGACAGAGAGAATTCTGACAAGGAAAAGATAAGGGAGGGAGGGTATCCCCAGTTTCCGAGCCGCAAAGGAGGGTCTTTCACGCCTTCCTTGTGTGCTCAGTGGCTCCTCACCTCATCTTTGCAGTTGCTTGCTGGGGAAGACATGGGATCCCAACACTGCTCTGTGGGCCCGTCTAGTTTCTGTAGGTTCCCGAACTGCCAGGAGGTCAGCCAGACATCTGGAAGAGACACAATGCTGCTAGAGTTCTGGGGAGCAGAGCAGGTGTGGCTGTCTGGAAAGAGGGGCTGAGATGCGGGGTCCCTCTGTGATGAGGGAGGGCACACCCAGTATGGGGGATTGACAGAGCCCAGCCCTGGGCAGGGAGGCCCTTCTTCAGTAATGAAGGGGAGGGGTCCTTGCCCAAGACCACCCAGGGAGTGCCAGAGACAACGTTTGAACCTGGCTCCTCTACATCTGCCCCCTGCAGTCATGGAAGCTGGGGGGAAGGGGCTGAGGAAGGGGCTGATATTGATGTTTTCCTGATTCTCTCCCCAGGCCCTCAGCAGGCACTGGGCCCAAACAGGGATTCCTGCCCAGGGGTGCACCAGACTAGCTGACCTGGAAGTACCTCCAACTCCTACATACTCTGATCCTCTGCGGGGGGAGGGGGAAGGTCCTAAGACCCTCCAGCCTTCTCTTCGTGGCCTGGCTGCCCATGGAGACCAGGAATGATGTAATTGCTCCACTCTGTCCCTCTGAAGGGACCAGCCCCGGGGGTTAGGAGACGTGGGCTGGGGTCCCAACTCCACCACCGCGTGACCTTGGGAAAATGCCTTCCCACCCTGAGCCTGCGGTTCCACATCTGTGAAGTGGGTGTGTGAATAGTAAAAGGGCTTCACAGAAAACGCTTCACTTACCACACATTTTGTGTACAAACGCACACATACTATCCGCAGCTAACACCATTTGGCATCTGACCCTCTAATCACAAACATACACAATCCATATGGAGCTGACTTTTGTGATTGGTCAGTGGCCTAACTCTGGACTTCAGCCTCCTTTACTGTAAGATGAGGTCCCTTCCAGCTCTGAGATTCTGACTCCTTAGAAGCCCCAGGCCCTGCTGAGGCTGGACTAAGGAGAGGCAAGGGCAGCTTTGGAAGCTGTGGGGAGAGCTTGGGCTGGCTGCCTGGGGGGCTGAGCTGAGTCTGGCTGGACCAGCTTCTCCACTGGGAGCCCCTTGACCACCTTGGCCTCCATGAGGGTGGAGGGCCAGGGAAGGGTTTCAGGAGAGGCCTTGGTGGACACCCCAAACCACCCTGCCTCCCACCCAGCCTGGGGCCTCCTGGATGACTGGTTTCTCTCTCCTCTCATCTCTGAGGCCAGCCCATGTCTCCTGAGCACACAAGACCAGAAGTGAGGGCCACACTGGGAGTGGGGAAGGGCATCACTCACTGTTGGAGTAGAATTCATTGAATGTAGAAAGGCCGTTGAAGTCCCCACAGAGCCCACAGGTCTGGTTGGCGTATTTTGTGTCCAGTTCCAGCTGAGGAGGATGGAGCAGGGGGTGGGAAGGAAATGGAGACCAATCATTGATACAGTCAGGGGCAGGGGAGGGAAGGCTGTGTGTGTTTGTTCCTGGGCTTTGGAGGGCCGAGGCGCTCTGGGCTCCTGGGACCAGAGTCTGGACTAGTCATTGGTGTGGGGGGGGGAGGCTCCTATGCCTCATTCCTCTCCTCCTAATGGGGGTGTGAGCCCCTTGAGGCCTGGCTTGGCATACAGGAGGCACTTCATAAGCATTTGTTGACTGACTGACTAGTCTTCCTCGGTCCAATTTCTCCCCTCACCAGTGAATTCTGTATGTGGCTTCCACAGAGATCTCTCCAAAGCACAGATCAGATCTGACCATGGCAAACCTCGACCAAAGATGCTCCCAGATGAAATATGAACCATCATTGCCTTTTAAAGTCCTTCAGAAACCTGCTCTGACCATGTTCCAGCCCTTCATGCTGTCTGAGCACCCCACATCAGACCTCTCCCACCTCTACATCTTTGCCCAAGGTACCCACATGCCTGGAGAGCCCTTCCTGCCTCACAGAATCCCCAGCTTGCTCTAAGTTCAGCTCAGGGGCCACAAGAGACTTAGCTGGGTCCCTCCAGTGCCAGGATGTCTGCCAGAAAATGCCATGTGCATGGGCTAGACATGCATGCACATGTGTATATATGTTGCACACATACATATGTGTTTTCTGTTATTTTATCTGTACAAGTTTGCGTGTGTCCTTTTCTCTGTTCGTGTTGCTTTTCTCCCAGCACAGTGTAAGCTTCTTGAGGGCAAGAATCAAGTCTAGTTTTTCTGTCCCCAGCGCCCAGAGCAGGGGCCGGCCCACTGTAGCTGCTGCTGAATCAGCAGCAGTAGATGGAAACAGCAGCACAGTACAGGTGCTTTGGGGCTAGATTCCAGAACCCACTTTCTAAAGGAGGAAAGCCTTCCCTCCAGGGACAGCAGCCTCTCCCACAGGTCTGCGAGGACCAGACAACCTTTAATGGGGCCTCGTGTGGGGGGCTGGCTTTGCCGGCTGGGATGCTGGGCAGCCCTGGCCAAGACGTCTTCTGTGGCCAGGGATTGGGAAGGGGGTGAGGGCAGGGGTCTGAGCAGGGAGAGGGCTGGCAGCCCCACTCTTACCAGGGCACTGTCATTGCCGTTCCACATGAAGGTCAGAACCATCCTCACGCTCACCTGGACGTAGGTGCTACTTGCCTCCACAGTGAACCCAGAGCGGCTGTAGGGCAGCTGCTCCCTGCAAAGAGAGTGGCCAGGGAAGAAAGACTTTCACCTCAAAAGCCAGTGAAGAGAGCAGCCGGAGGCACCAGGCTGTGGCGCCCTGGATAGGTGGCAGACTGGCCAGGGAGGGACTGACGCTGGGACCCTAGGGCCCTGGCAAGGCAGGGATGAACTCCCCTCCATGTGACTCCCTGCCTGCCTCCACCTCAGAATTGGTCACCCCCAGACCACTCAGACCATAGCGAGGCCTGGAGGCTTCCTCTTTAGTTCCTGAGTTATGGAGTGCCCTCTGTAGCCCCCTCCCCTGCTGAAAGTTGAGAGCCTTTGCCCTGCCCTGCCCCTAAAGATCCGGGATCTGACAGCCACACTCATTATCATTCCCATCATCACAACTATTGCAAGTATTTATATAATGTTTTAAGGTTTGCAAGCCACATTACAAACTAGATCTCATTCGATCTTCCCAAAAGCCCAGGGGGCAGGTGCAACAATGATCCCCATTCTACAGTTAAGGGAACTGAGGCAGACAGGGGTTAAGTGATTTGCCCAGGGTCACACAGCCAGTGGTTGTCAGAGACCACATTTGAGCTCAGGAAGGCTCCAGTCCAGGCGCCCTGTGCACCATGGCGCCCCCTAGGGGCAGACTGGTGGCCCTCATCCCGCTCTCATTAAACCACAGTGCAGAGTTCAGGGTCTATCCAGTGAAGACTTCTGGAAAAGCTCTCGGAGGTCAGAGAGGAGCTGGGTTAGCTGTTATTTTCTCCAGCTGGGTGCCTGGGCAGTTATCTCAGTCTATATGAATCTTAGTTTCTCCCTCTGTTAGTAAGGTAGGGACCCAGATGACTGCTGGGGTCCTGCCAGCAGAACCCTCCAAAGGGCAGAAGATGGTGGGGGGCCAGCCCACAAGGTGGGTGTAGAGAGCGGGGACTCATGAGGCTCACCGCTGCCCATTGATCAGGACGGATCCAGGAGACAGCTCTAAGACCACCCCTTCTGTCTTGATGAGGATGCGGCTGATGGTGGGGGTCTCCCCAACCAGGGAATGCCGGATCTGGATATTAAAATCCTCATAAGCAGCTTGGCAATGCGAGGCAAAGACATAGTTACACAGGCCAGGGAACTGGAAGATGTCCCCATCAAAGGTCTTGTAATGGAAGCTGCCCCACGTGCTGCACACTTGGCCACTGTGTGAAGGGTTCAAGGCTGCAAGCAAAGGGGAAAGGAGGGGATCAGTGCCCTGACAGAGAGCTGGCCTCCCCCCTGTCCTCCCAAGACTGCCAGGCCTGAAGTCTGAGGCAGGGCCTGCCTCCCACACCCAAGGGCATCCCCAGAGAAACTCGAGTCACGTCTATCAATAGAGCATTAGCCAATTCCCTAATGCTGCAGGAAAGGCCGCAGCTCTTCTGTCTAGGCCCTTCCTGGATTGTGAGCTTCCTGGGGGCAGGAGCCAAAGTTCTGGGCTCTGCACATAGCAAGGGCTTAATCAGTATGGGCTGTTCTCATGGGTGGTCAGTCAGTCAGAACTCCTTCAGGGACCCCTCAGCTCATGCTGTCTGGTGGTCATCACCAAACATTGTCAATGAAAACAGAAAAAGAGATGACATAGGAATTAACTGAAATGGCTTGAAGTTCAAAGTCAGCCCGGCTGGATCTGGAGCCATGCTGGAGCCATGCAGCTAGCTGTCTCACAATAGATCCTTCTGGGATTCATTGACACAGAGAGGGACCCCGGGAGAGAGGGCCCAGGGCAGGCTTCTCAGCTGCCTCTGCCCACTCCGGTGCCACAGGCTCAGATTTCTGAATGGCTGCGGGGAGAGGGCAGGCTTACCACTTGCATAGGGGGTGATGGTGCCTGTGGAGATGAAAGTCATTCGCGATGTAGGACGGGGCTCAGGCAAGGTCTTAAAGTAGTCTGGGGGTTGGAAGAAGACAGCCACAGTTGGTTAGTTTAGAGTCTTCCTGAGGAACCCTTGGATGCCTGGTACTGAGGGGGCTGATTGTGTACTGGCCAGCCTCAGAGCTGGGAAGACCTGTGTTCAAATGCCACCTTTGATGCTAACATTACTTGACCTGAGTTTCTCCTTGATAAAATGAAGGTATCTTTGTAAGATACCTTCCAGCTCCCAATCTATGGTCTCAGATCTTCCTCGGTGCATACTGGGAAAGGCAAAGGGACCCCTGGAGATACAGAGCCAGGCAAGAAGGGGCCACAATAGAGAAAGGGGGTAGCCCTCTCTCCACTGTGAGGGTGATGAGTCAGGCCAATGTGGAGAAGCCTCGGGTTCCTTGCCAATATCTACCCTTTACAATTGGTCCTCCTATTGACCCAACATTGGGCGAGGCCAACAAAAGGACCAAAGGTCTGCCCTGTCTCGTACCCTTAAAGCCAGTGACTGCCTCAGAGAGAAATTCTCTGTCCCTTCCCCAGAGGGCCAAAGGCTGACCTGTTGTGATCTCTTCCCACTTAAACTACTAGGCTTTCTGTCTACTCCAAAGGCCCTACCCCCCTTGCCCTGGCCAATGCTCCTTTTTGCCCTGGGGGCACCATGACTCATGAAGTCATGTTTTCGGTTGATGAGCCCTAAGTTACAAGCAGTGGACTTTCTCTCCCTTGAGCTCACTTCTTTCTCACATCCCTGGGATGCCTGAGAGTCTGGGTTTTCCTGGTCTGTCATAGGAAGATGCCCTTGGCCTTTCTTTGATCACCTCCCATGGTGCCTAGGGTGCCTAGGTAGCTCGTTAGTACAGTGGTTAGAGTACTGGGCCTCAAACCTCTCCAGCAGTAAGTCACTTAACCTCTGTTTGCTCTAGTCCCCTCTACTGTAGTGAGGATAACAGCACTTCTCTTGTCAGAGCGCAGTTCCCGGCACACAGTGGGTGCTGCATAAATACTTAAGCCCTTCCCTTAGACCTTAATCACTGGTGGAAGCCCTTGCTGGTCCCCCTCAGTCTCAACATCCCGGGCTGTGGCCAGGAGGGCGGGAGGGCCATTTTCCCTCTCCCACACCGGAAGCCAGCCGAGAGAGCCCAGAGAGGAAGGAGACCTGTCCAAGGCTCAGCCCGGGAGACTTTTTGGGGTGTGGAGGCAGCCCTGGATCGATCTCCTTACCATAGTCTGGCTGAGAGTATTCTGGCAGGTCCCCATAAATCGCCCCAGCCTCCTGGGTCTCTGAGGAGACATGGAAAGAATCAGTGAGAGGCCCCCAGAGGCTAATGGTGCCCCTCCCCCCACGGCCATCGGCTTTTGGGGCAGGATTCAAGTCAACCCAATTCAGTTGAGTCAACACTAAGCAGGTCCTCTGTGCTAAGCACCCTGCTGGGCACAGGCAAAACGAAAGCCATGTGTGCTTTCAGGGAACTTTCATTCTACTGCCTCAATAATGCAAGAAGATTTGAAGCTCAGAAGAGGCTGCTGCCAGCGGGTGGGGAGTTAACTGACCCTTGTCCGAGAGGCAGGGGTGAGCAGCGAAGGGCATTCCAGGCATGGGGGATGGCCTGGACAAAGGTGCGGAGGTTGGAAAATCATGGCCAGGTTGCCTGGAATGTAGTGAGAAAAAGGGAGCCATCGGCAGTCACCCCAGGAAAGTGAGGTAGGAGTGGCTTATCGGAGGTGGACTGGAGAGAGAAGAGGATGTAGGGAAGCATCCGGAAGCACCGTGAGGAGGCCGCTTCAGTGCTGCAGACGTGAGGTGTTGGGGGGCTCGTGGGAGAGAAGAAGCTGATGGGTGAGGGAGAAGCCACAAGGCCTGGGACCAGGTCGGACTCAGGGATTGTGAAGGAGGGGAGGGCTGAGGCCGACTCTGAGGCCGGGAACGCCCCTGGAGGGAGGGATGGCGGTACCATTGACTGACGCAAGAGAGCGCTCCTTCTAGTTCGGACGTGCCCAGGTCCGCGAGATGCCCCGGCGCCCCGTAGGTGGTCAGGGATGCCTAGGTGATGCAGGCAGACCCACCTCGGGCAAACTTGGCCCGTGAAAGTCGCCTCTACAGCGAATCAAACCGGGCTGGAGTGCATTTACTCTCCAGAAGGCAGAGCGTCTGCTGAGCGCCCCATCTTCATTGAGGACCGGGTCTGATATGCAAAACTTCGGCCGACGCGCAATGCTTTCTGGAAGTAGCTGAGCTATAAGGGGAGGATCACCTGGGCGCGTGTAGACCCTTGAGAACCGGCCTGTGTTCATGGCGCTGTTCCATCTGTCCACACGGGGACCCAGAGGTGCTGGCCCCTTCGAGCCCAGAGCCTAGCGCTCACGCCAGGCGTTCCCTAGCAGACTGGAGGCTTAGCGGAAGAGCCCGGAGCTCAGACCCCATGCCCGCTCCTCCCTAGCCCAGCCGCTCTCTTCACTTGGGACTTTGTTCTCTCTTCTGGCCCGGCTCTATGCTGCTGCAGCGCCATCTCTCCTCACACTCAGAGAGCAGGCAGCTGGCAAAGGTTCCATCTCGAGGGTGTGCTAGAGACCACTGCCCTATGGCAGCCTTCCCTCCATCCCATCCTCCAGGGGCAAGAATGGGTGGCACCAAGCCTGGGTTCCAAGTTCTCCTCCAAAACTGGAGGCACAGTGGATAGAGCAGGGCCCTGGAATCAGGAGGACCTGAGTTCAAACCTGGCCTCAGACATTTGACACTTACTAGCTGTGACCCTGGGCAAGTCGCTTAACCCTATTGCCTAGCCAAAATATATATATATATATTATAATATATATATATATATATATATATATATGTATATATGCATGTATTGGTGAGCTTTGAGACCCTGGGCCAGTCTTGTGGCCCTCTGAGCCTGTTTCCTCATCTGCAAAATGGGATTCATGGTCCTTGCACTTCCTCCCTCCTAGGGCTACATTATCGCTAGGATCCCTCACTGCCAAGGAGCAGAGAGTGTGGCTGAGGCCAGCAGGGGCCTGGGGCTTCCCAGCATCCCCAGAGCTGCTGAGCCAAGCACTCTGACCCTGAGACCTGGGCTAAGGCTCAGTGACTACACACAAGGGCACTCCATCCACCAACTTGAGCCCCCCAGGGCTCCTGGCAGTGTCAAACTTGGTAGCAGCTCCAACACTTGGCAGGGCTCCCCAGCTCAGTGGCAGGTGAGAAGGGCTGGGCTGCTCTGGAATTTCCTGTAGAATTTTCCCAGCTGTGTGACCTGGTGGCCTTGAAGGCAGGTGGCTAAAGGCCTCTGGTGTCACCACAGGGTCACCTTTTGTCTAGCAACTCTGTGCTTTCCAGGGCATGGATGACCTCTCTGCCCTGAGCTAGAGGAATACAGGCCTCAGGTGTCTAGAAGCTGAGACTCGTGACCCTAACCATGATGGCTAGCTTGCTTTGAGGTCCTGATGGAAAGAGCCCCTACTCTGAACCTCAGGAGTCCCTTCTGTGAAAAGGGGACAAGAGTTCTGGCAGGGCCTCCCTTTCAGAGTGGCTGGGAGGAAAGCAACCTGGAAACCTGAAAACATGAGGCTAGAGAGAGGGTGCTTTTGTCCTTATTACTGGCATCCCTACAGGGCGGGGAGAGACAGAGATAGACAAGGAGACAGAAAGCCAGCCAGAGATAGAGATAGAGGCAGGCAGAGAGTCTGAGAGAGAGAAAGAGACAGACAGAGTTGGCAAATAAAGAGACAGAAGATCAGAGACAGAGAAAAAAGACAGAGCAGGGGGAGAAAGAGACAGAGAGATGAGAGACTGAGTGAAAGAGAGAGCAGGGAAAGGAAGAGACAGAGAGAGAAAGAGAAACAGAGACAGACAGAGTGGCTGAAAGATCCAGAGAGAAACAGACAGAGAAAGACAGAGATGGACAGGAAGACAGGAAGACAGGAAGAAAGACTGCCAGAGATAGACATAGAAACAGACAGAGGCCAAAGCAGACACAAACAGAGAGAGACAGAGAGAGAGACAAAGACAGAGACAGACAGAATCAGAAATAGACAGGGAGACAGAAAGACAGCCAGAGATAGAGATAGAGACAGACAGAGAGGCTGAGAGAGAGAAAGAGACAGAGAGTCTGAAAGATACAGAGAAACAGAGATACAGAGACAGAGACAAAGACAGAGACAGACAGGGAGACAGCCAGTGACATTGAGAGTGAGAGAAACAGACAGAGGCTGAGACACCCAGAGAGAGGAAGGAGGAGGTGTTTCCTCTTCTCCCCTGGTACCAGAGCCCACCTGAATCAGTTTCCAGCTGTTCCAGTTCTCGCCTCCCTGGGGCCAGAAGCCCACCTGAATCAGATCCTGAGGCTCCCAGTCTGGTGCCTGATGTCCCTCCTTCCTCCCACTGTCTGTCTCACCTCATCTCATCCCAGGATTCCCTGTGTCTTTCTCAGAGGAGAGAGTGCCTGCCTCCAAAAGGCTGAGCCTGAACTGCCCCTGCAGTTCACACTCCAGACCCTTCCTGATGCGCTCTCTAAGGATTAGAAACTAAACAGACATTGCTCAGTTGAAATCAGTCCCCCTTTAATTTACCAAGGAAGGGCATTCCCAGGTGTCAGGGGTAGGAAGGACCAGAGACAGCCTGGAGCCCTGCCCCCTCACTTTGCCGAAGCGGGGGTTGAGGCTTCAAGGAAGGGAGTGATTTTCCAGGTGCTCTCATGGCAAAGCCAGTGTCCTTTCTGCCAACTCCCAGGCCTGTGTGAGCGAGCGGGAAGTAAGAGGGGAGTGTGCATGACCATGTAGGCTTGCATGCATGTGTGCCTCCTGAGAAGGCAGCTGGAAGGGGGCCCCTCCTTTGGTTGGTGATGAGGCATTTCTGAGGAGGGCAGTGCAGGAAGAAGGCTGCTCAGGGCAAGCCACCTTGGGGGAGAGGGAGGACAGGAGCTGGTGGATCCTAGCTCCACCCAGGAGACAGAGCCAGGTCTCTACAGGCTCTTCCGGCCCAAAGTCTGTGATCTCGGGACCATGAGAGCCCAGCTTTTCTCTCGTTCAGCAAGATGTACAAAGCACCTTTCCCACATTGCTGTGGGAGGGAGGATATTGAAGTATTTTGTCCCCTTTTGCCATGGGGAAACTGAGGCACAGAAGCTTCAATGACTTGATCAGGTCATGCAGCTAGGAAGTCATACTACCTGAAAGGGCTCTTAGCCCCGCTCCCTTAGTTTCCACTTGGGCAGACTGAAATACAGAAATGCTGAGTCCTCTATCCAAGCCCACACAGGGAGCAAGTGTCTGGGCAGGACTGGAACCCAGGCTCTCCTGATCTCAGCTTCAGGACTCTTTCCATTGGGCGGCAGCACCTCCAATCACATCAGACTCATCCAGAACAGAAATTGCACCAGGCACATGCCTGCGATGTGGTCAGCATTGCCCTGTCCCACTGGTCCACCACCGCTAGGTGAAACAGTCAGTCCCCAGGACCACAGACTGAGCCAGATGTCCTGACCAGCCTGGGAAGGGAAGCATCTAAGCTACACCTGGACTGGAACCACCCCCCAGGACAGAGTCTGTGTCCAGATTAGTCAGCCCCAGCTTGAATACCACCTGATGCCCATCTCGGGGAAGGGGCCTGGAGCACCCAGAGAGTGTTCTACCTGTGGTGAGAGTCATGCTTCCTCCCCCTCTGACCTTCCCAACTGCTTCCAGGGAGCCCTCTGTGCCTCTCCAGGTGCCAGTCTGCAACTAAGAAACCAAGAGCCCCTGCCTCTGGTTGTCAAACAGGGCTCTGCTTCCCAGCCATAGTGGAGATTAAGCCAACAGGGTCAAAGGACAGGCAGGTAATGATTCAGCTGGATGGGACTGGGTAGCAGAAAAGCCCAGGGTTGTTGGGAATGCAAATCTACCAGGTCTGTCTCAGGAGGTGTCCCCCACAAAAGACCCTCTTGGACCTTCTAGTCAAGCTTTGTTAAATCGGCTATAGGTGCCATTCCTCCTCCTCCCCCTCTTCTTTGTTCCCCTCTCCCCTTTTCTCCTTCCCTTCCCTTCCCTTCCCTTCCCTTCCCTTCCCTTCCCTTCCCTTCCCTTCCCTTCCCTTCCCTTCCCTTCCCTTCCCTTCCCTTCCCTTCCCTTCCCTTCCCTTCCCTCTCCTCTCCTCTCCTCTCCCCTCACTTCCTCTCCTCCCTTCCTCTCCTCTCCTCTCCCCTCACTTCCTCTCCTCCCTTCCTCTCTTCTCCTCTAGTGTCTCCTGCTCTCCTCTCAGATCTCTCTCCTCCTCTCACCTCCTCTCTCCTCTTCTCAGAATTCTCTCCTCCTCTCCTCTCTTCTTCTCCTCCTCTCTTCTCCTTTCCTCTCCTCTCCTCCCCTCCCTTCCCCTCCTCTCCTCCCTTCCTCTCCTCTCTCCTCCTCTTCTCTCCTCTCTTTTCTTCCCCTCCCTTCCTCCTCCCTTCCCTTTCCTTCTTCTTCTCCCTTCCTCTCCTCTCAGAGCTCTCCTTTCTTCTCCTTCTCTCCCCTCCCTTCCTCTCCTCTCTCCTCTCTCCTCTTCTCTTCTTCCCTTCTCTCACTGTCTTCTCTCCCTTGACAGGTATAATTAGCCAGTAGATGGGCAGCCCTCAGGGCACTAAGTTTTACTGTTGACAGTAAGTATTAAAGGACTTACTAATAGCCAGTATCTAACTGGTGAGGCCAGGGAGGATGGGAGGCTGTGCTGAGCCCTAATCTCCTTTTGCTCTCTGGGGAACACTGGCATTTTGCAGCATGCCATGCTTGGAGGATGGAGCAATGAGAAGCTCTGGCTTTCTCCCTTTTGTGTGGCTTTCTGGGGGTTGCCTGCCTGCCCGTGGGACTCTTCTGGGTCACCTCAGAAGGTATCCACCCTTCCCCAAGCCCTGTCTCTAGCTCAGCCCAGAGCTTGGAACACAACCTGTTTTCCAGGGAGCTGGTCTTCCTGCCTCCATCTTTCCCTTTCTCAACAGGCTTTGCTGGGGCAGGAGCATCGGGACAGAGGTAGGCATGCTCCAGTTTCAGATATTAATAGAAGAGCTATAAGAGTCTGTGCAGCTCCTCTCCACTGCAAAGACTGTGAGCCCCCAGCCCTGGACAGCCTCTGGGGGCCTGAGGAAGTTCCCACAAGGGCCCTACACAGAGCTAAGTGATAAGAACATTGTAGGGTGGGGGGGGGATGCTTACCTGCCTGGTGTGTTATGCAGACTACAATTACCAGGGTCTGAAGAAGGTCCAGAAGCCCCCTCCCTGTGCCCATCCTGAGTGGCCCCTGTGGCACAGAATGGCCCCAAGGAAGGGTGGTGGGCAGGCAAAGCTCTGTCACAGGCAGCTGAAGTTTATATAGCAGGGACACACTGGCTCCCCTCCAGCTCCCACACCAGGGTCTAGGGAGGTGGGGCTTTGGACCAGCAGCAGCAGCAGGGGAGTGGGCCAGTGCTGGGGGCTGCCCCTCCCTGGGAGTGGGCACCCTGTGTATTTGCACTTGGAGAGGAGCCAGGGTGGTAGGGTAAGCCCTGGAAGAAGGGCTCAGGGACTGGAGTCTCCCAAGAAGTCCCAGCCCCTGGACAACACCCCAGATTCCTTCAGAGAAAGCAAGGTGCCAGGGATCATTGCCTCATCATGATGACCACAGAGCTGTGGCTAGGTGTGTGGTTGTCTCACATTCGGCCCCCCCCCACCCAAACTGGAAGCCTTTTGGGGACTTTGTTGGCAGTGGGAGCTCAGTGAAGACAGACAGAAAGAGGGAGAGAGAGAGAGACAGAGAGGGAGAGAGAGAGAGAGAGAGAGAGAGAGAGAGAGAGAGAGAGAGAGAGACAGAGACAGAGACAGAGAGACAGAGACAGAGAGACAGAGACAGAGAGAGACAGAGACAGAGGGACAGAGAGACAGAGAGAAGGAAGGAGGTAGGGATAGAGAGAGGAGGGAGGGAGGAAGGATGGAAGGAAGGAAGGAAAGAAGGAAGGAAGGAAGGAAGGAAGGAAGGAAGGAAGGAAAGAAGGAAGGAAGGAAGGAAGGAAGGAAGGAAGGAAGGAAGGAAGGAAGGAAGGAAGGAAGGAAGGAAGGAAGGAAGGAAGGAAGGAAGGGAAGGAAGGAAGGAAGGAAGGAAGGAAAGAAGGAAGGAAGGAAGGAAGGAAGGAAGGAAGGAAGGAAGGAAGGAAGGAAGGAAGGAAGGAAGGAAGGAAGGAAGGAAAAAAGGAAGGAAGGAAGGAAGGAAGGAGGGAGGAAGGAAGGAAGGAAGGAAGGAAGGAAGGAAGGAAGGAAGGAAGGAAGGAAGGAAGGAAGGATAGAAGGAAAAGAGGTGGCAGAGAAATCTTTTAGTGTGAGATGAGACCAGATAATGACAACCTCAGGGCTGGAGAAGGACAAATCTTCTATTCAGCCTCCTTTCGCCCCTGCCAACCCCATCCACTGCCCCCTGCCACTGTCTCAGAAAAAAAGGAAGAGAAGAGTTAGCAAACTCTAGGCCAATGAACATGAGTTTGGTTCTGGCCAGTGATCAAAGGGATAGTCAGTGAACATCCAGAAACAGGAGCAGTGATTGCTGAGACCCAGCCTGACTTCATCCAGAACAGTTCATGGCAGACTCACCTTATTTCCTTTTTCACAGCAGCATTACTAGACTGGTAGATTAGAGAAATGCTGGACACACTATTTACTTAGATTTTTGCAAAAAAAAAATCTCTCATTATTTTTGTGTAAGAGATGGGGAAAAAAGTGGGCTGGACAATCATTTAGCTGGAGGATTCAGAGCTGAGTGGCCCAAAGAATAATCACTGTCAGCCCAGAAGGAGGTCTCTAGGGCAGGGCCCCAATGATCTGTGCTGGGCCCTGGGCTGTTTGGCAGTTTTAGGAATGACTTGGATAAAGGATGAGATGGACTGCTTGCCATATTTGCTGGTGTCTCCCAGCTGGGAGATGTGACCAATACATGGGGTAGCAGAGTCAGGATCCAAAAAGATGTGGCAGAACATTGGGATAATTCAAAGAACTTGAAATGGGATGGAAATAGATGGGTCAATCTTTAGACTTGGGTTCCAAAAATCACCTCCACCCTAAGGCAAGTGTGGGAGAAGTTTATCTGAAAAAGGTCTGGTGGTTTCAGTGGACCTCAAGCTCAAGACACATCATCCATGGGATGTGTCAGGACAGGCTGCCTGATGAGAAGCATCCAAGAACAATCCACGTGGCCCTCTGAGAACCAGCACAGTACCATGGACAGAGCTAAGTTCAGGACTCCTGGGTTCCATCTCTGACACACAGGGCCCCAAGCATGCTGGGAGAATCATTGCTCATTTCAATCCCAAGGCAACTCAGAGCCCTCTGTCCTGTCCCGCCAAGGACAGTCTCTTCCCTGGTCCCTTTTGAGGTCTTCCCAGCTTCCTTCCACCCCTGGACTTCTCCCCCCTCTCTCTGCCTTTATGGACATAAACCCTGCCCAGGACCCCAGCATCCACGAAGCCTGTGGGACTACCCCACTCCACACCAATCCCTGTCTCTCCTGAGCCCCTGCCATGCTCACCTCTTCGGGGGAATCCTGAGCTGTTACACATCCACCTTTCTGGCTGTTTTATGTGGCTGGGGTGTCTGGCCTTTCCTCAGAACTGGAGATACCCTAAAGCAGGCCCTGTGTGTCCTCCTCCTGGCTCCCCCAGCATAGCCAAGCATAGGACTGCATGGGTACCCCTCCGCCTGGCACAGAAATCAGTTCCATTGTTGCTGGAGGTGCACAGGGGAAAGGACAATGTTGGCCTTGGGCCTGAGATGACCAACTGTAAAAGGTGATCATCCTTCAGCCTCTGGTGACTTGAGTAAAAGAGAACTGTCCTCATGGTCAGATACATCCTAAACTGGAAAGTGCTGCCTTTCAGGAGGGAGCTCCTCATCACTGGGGGCCTTAAAGCAAGGTGGAGGACTACCTGTTGGGGATGCTCTGTATGTGTGTGTGTGTGTGTGTGTGTGTGTGTGTGTGTGTGTGTGTGTGTGTGTGTGTGTGTGTGTGTGGTGTGTGTGTGTGTGTGTGTGTGTGTGAGAGAGAGAGAGAGAGAGAGAGAGAGAGAGAGAGGGAGAAAGGGAGGGAGGGGCGGAAGGAGGGGGAGAGAGGCAGACAGACAGACACAGAGAGAGAGAGAGAGAGAAAGGGGGGGAGAGAGACGGGAGAGAGAGGGAGAGAGAGGGGGGAAGGCATGGAGGAGGGAGGGAGAGGGGGAGGGAGAGAGACAGAGACAGAGACAGAGGCAGAGAGAGAGACAGAGAGAGCGGGAGGAAGGGAGGGAGAGGGGGGAAGGAGGGGGAGACAGAGAGAGACAAAGAGAGAGAGAGACAGAGAGACAGAGAGAGAGAGAAAGAGAGACAGAGAGAGAGAGAGATGGCTTGGCTTCTGTCCAGACTTCTGAACCTCTGTGACATTCCCCAGCTTCTCTCTGACCCGCAGGACACTACCGCTGAGACCAGCTCTATAGTGCTGGTGTTTGGGATGAAGCTCAAGTCAGGGGAGCACTGACCACTCCTCAGGGGCTTCTGGGAGACTCTGCTGCCCTGCACTGCAGCTGCAGTCCAAACAGTCACTTCCTTATCACAGCACCTGATTGATGCTTAGCACAATGCCCAGCACATAGTAGGTCCTCAACAAATGCTTGTGGACTGGCTCACTCCTGGGGTCCTGGTAGGTCCACCTTCCTAGGGCAAGTAGTTGGTCACTCACTGCTGGTGAATCCACAGAGAACAGCCTCTGTGAGCTGGGGGACAGCTGAACTGGAGCTGGGGGGGGTGCACAGGGATGGGTTCAAACACTCAGCCCCATTGTGTGGCAGGGTCCCGATTGAGACATCCCGGATGTATGCTGATGATGTGTGTCTGGATGGGTCAGGTGGCCTGTTTGCTCACCAGGGTTTACATCTTCACAGTTCAGAGAACAGAAAGCAGGAAAGAAAGGGAAGAGGAGGGAAGTCAGCTTCCTGCTCATAAAGTCTGGCCTCCCTCTTTGCCAATAATCTAGCCTTTGGGAGGTGAAAGCCTCTACAGTCTTTGAGTGGAGAACAAACTTGTCAGGCTCAGCTCCCTTGTCTTCCTGGCAACGTAAGCCTGGGCAGGCTCTTAGGTAAACACACCCTAAGCCGCAGAGACTGGGAACAAGAATAACGGCATTTCTTGGAACCGAGACATTCCTGTGTCCTTGGGGATAAGGGTTTGGTGGTGGGACCAGGCACGTGGGAGCTTCGCCATGAGCAGCTCATGCTCTGAGACTTCAGTAGCCCTCCATTACCTCCAGGATAGAGCCTGTCACTTGGGGCCCCTCGCGGTTTGGCTCCCCCCTTCCTGGAGCTTGGCATAGGATTCCGGAGTCTCAGAGGGGCCTCGTCCAGCCCAGTGAGTGGGGAGCCACCGTTTGCTTGCATCCTCACCTGCCCCAGCAGCCCATTCTACCATAGGATTTCCTGCTGCCTGGGGCCAGGCAGAATGGGGCTGACCCTCTTCCAAAAATGGAATGTTCTGCCTTGGGAGGCGAGAAGTTCCCGTTCACTGAAAGTCCTCAAGAAGAGCCTGAGTGACCGCTTGTCAGAGTGATTGAAGAGGATTTGTTTTCTGGTCTGGTGTGGGCGAGCTGTCCATCGAGAGCCACTCTGGCCCAGAGATTCTGGGATCGCTCTTGAGTGCCCAGCCCATTTCACAGACAAAACAACTGACCTGGTAGCTATTTCCCTAAACTCACTTCACCCTCACTGGGCTCTGGGTCTTTGCACAGGCTGCCATCTGTGCCTGGAACACCCTCCTTCCTCAGCTCTGCCTCATAGGACCTGAACTTCCCCAGAAAGCCCCCCTTGCCTCCCTCAGTTACTCCTCCCCACCCCATATTCCGTTGCACCTCCTTGTTCTGTGTCCCTGTTGGCTCCCCTATTAGGATATAAGCTCCCTGAGGGCAGGCCCATAGTTTATATCTTTGTCTTTCAGAGCCAACATCCTGGCATACAGTGGGTACTTAAAAGCTTATTATTATTATTAAATAAAAATAAATAAACAAAAGTTCATTGTTATTAAAGGCTTATCAGCCTGGCTTGGCCATGGAGATAAATGCCTGCCTCATCTTTGTCTAGGATCAGAACAAAAATAGTAGAAATGTGAAGTCTCACTGCCCTGTTCTTCACCAGCCTGGGACAGCTAGAATCAAATGGAAAGATCCCTGGACACTGGAGATACTGGGTCTGACTTATGGCTTCATCACCTCCTTACTCCCTGTGTGACCTTGGACAAGTCCCTTCCAATCTCACCTTCAAGGGAAGGTGCCAGACTGGACACTG